GTAATCAGTTTGTCAGTTTCTATCAGTCTGGTAAGATTAGACTATGTTAAATCTGTAAATCAGTTTTGAAAGAACTGACATTTTAGTGCAAGATGTGGAGGATTATTAGCCTGTAGTCCCAGCATTTGGGAGGCTGAGGTAGGAGGATGGTCCTGGGCAACCAAGTGTGACCCTGTCTCCAAAATCCGAAAGAAAAACAATTGGCCTTTTTTGATGAAATTAATTCTAGTTCATAAACATGATCCTCCTCTCCATTTAGGTCTTTTGTTGGCACTATTTTCTCATTTTTAAGATTCCTTTAAAATGCTACATTTATCCCCAAGTATTTAATATATTTCTATAGTATTGTAAATAGTATTTTTTCCATTGCAGTTTCTAGTTTTCTACCCATCTTTTCATGTGTAAATGAGGCTTTGGGCTTATATGCCCTTTTAGAGTACAGAAATGGTATTTTGTTCTAGGGAGGGGGATTATTATGGCCTTAAGCAATTTTGTCTATCTGTTTCTTTTTTGAATGTGTCTGTTAATTGTATTTTAGATCATCTGTTTGAACTCTTTAGGGGGAGGGGCGTGGAATTTGGAGGACAATCTACAGGAGTTGATCTCTCCTTCCACTGCTTAGTCCTGAGAATCTATTTCAGGTGTTCAGCTTGGTGACCTTAACACACTGAGCTGTCTCACTGACCCTAGTTGAACTCCTTGTTGTCCACTCTGGGGTTAAAAGCACTGTTCTTGCAGAGTACCAGATTTAGTTACTAGCACCCACTTCATGGCTTACAGCTGCCTGTAATTCCAGTTTAAGGGGATTCAACAACCTCTTCTGACCTGCCTTCTGTTTCTGCTGATAGTTGATTGTATGTCTGATATTTGCTTATGTGGTAATATTTGACAAATTTGAAAATAACTATCACCTGATAGTTGAGGTACTGGTAAACTACAGCCACTTCTTGCCGTGGGGGATTTTCAGACAATAGAAAATAGAGTAAATTACTCAGACTTGGCAGTATAGGCCTATAGTTATTTAAAGAAAAAGAAAAGGAAGGAAAATTCTGTGGATGGAGAGATGGCTTAGTGGTTAAGAGAACTGGCTCAACAATTAAGAACACTTGCTACACTTGGAAAAGACCCAAGTTCAGGTCACAACCTGTAATTCCAGCTCCAGTGGATATATGAGATCTTCTGGCCTCCATGGGTACCTACCCTCACACTTAATAACTACAAATAATTTTTAAAAAATTAAGTTGCAAATATGTCAAATACTCATACAATATGTTGGCATAGCCAGATTTTCTTAGCCTGGGTGTATACAGGAAATCATTCTTCTACATGTTTATAAAGATCTTTTCTGTGTATAGTAGGACTATAGAAAAGGTCAGAGAGCATCCATCTATAATACTGGATGTTCCTTTTTAATAATGTCCATAAGCATATTAAAGGCTCTAAGACACCTTGAAAGCACAAAAAAACCCTAAATGATCATGGTACTTTAGCAGATGCTAGCCTTGAAGTTGTGATCCTCCTGCCTGCAGTTTTGGGATTTCAGATGTAGTGCTGGTTAGCTTTTGTTGTCAACTTGGTAAGCCTAATATCATCTTGGAAAAGGGACCTCAGTTGAAGAATTGCTCTAGTCAGAGTGACCTGTTAACATGTCTGTGCAACATTTTTTAAAATCATTAATTGGTAAAGGAGGGCAAAGCCCACTGGGAGAAGGAGGGTGATGGGCTGTTAACCTCAAATGTAAGATGAAGTAAACTCCTCTTCTTCTCCAAGTTGGATTTTGTCATAGTATTTATCAGAGCAACAGAACACAAACTAGAACAAGGTGTATGCCACCATGTCTGGTATTAACTCTTTTTAAAACAAATATTAACAGCCTGTGATTATTAAAACTGTACCATTTGGAATCATAATCCCTTGAAACACTTTCTGAAAGTAGAGTTAGAATAAGCTATTGCTAACTGTATTACTTGCTTGCTAAATGGCTCTGTAGTAGGCAAGCATCTGTATGGTGGGTGGGTGTGTGAGCGTGCATGCACTGGCGCTTGGGAATCTTTATTTGGGGAAGTAATTTTTGTTTTGGGACTTTAGGGACAGATTTTTGTTTGGGGAGTTTTGTTGTTGTTGTTGTTGTTGTTGTCATTGTTTATTTGAGATAGGGTCTTCCTACAGGCCCTGTCTGTCCTGAAACTCAGACTATCCTCAAACTCACAGATCTGCTAATGCTGGGTTTAAAGGTTATATGGAGTCTTTTATTATTGTTCTATTACTCTGTGTGCGTGCGTGCATGGGCGAATAACATCAGTGTATACATGTCATGGCACATGTGGAGACCTCAGAGCAGTTTTCCGATAGTTGGTTCTTTCCTTCTACCATGGCATCCAGGGACTGAAGTCAGGTCATTAAACTTGTTCTGCAGCCCTGTGCCATCTCATTTGGCATGTAGAGTCTTCATGGATATTTCTGCTTGCAAGTAGGTGTATGAATTTATTTAGAGTCTAGTCTAACTGGTGTTAGTTAACATTATAAACTGCATATGCTGTGGTATATCATTCATATACTGTCTTTTCTTTGCCCTGTGGGAAGAAATCCTGACCGTAATGATCTGACTACAAATCCTCCCGACCATCATCTCCATTCCACTATACTAAGCATAGCCAAACTGTCGGTGTATCTAGGTTATTACAGCCCCAAATTCTTTATCTTTTGCGTTTGTTTTTAGAGAAGAGTTCTTTATTATATGACCCAGGCTGACCTCAAACTCGTGGAGATTCATTTGCCTCTTCACACACATACACACACTCATGCCACACCACGACCCACCCTACTCCCAATGCTGGGATTAAAACATGAGCCACCATGCCCAACTCATAATCCTTTATTTTGATCCTTCCTCTGCCTATTCCATCAGCAGATATACAAGGGTCACCGTTTGTGTCCTTGGGTTCTTATCTCATGTTATGTGACACTATTCCCCAGGGGAGATATGAACTAATGTCTACTTACCTCAGATAGGAACTGATAACAAACAAAGCAAAGTAAGGATACCAAATTCCAGCTTGGTGAGTCAGTAAGTTGGTGTTACAGGACTATGGGTAAGGGGTTACTAGAAGGAGCAAAAATGACTCAAAGACAGTTGCATCACCAAAGCACACCCCAGCATGCATGGGTGACAGGCTCACAAACGCTGGAAACCTGGAGCATGCTACACAAGCTGGATGTAGCTCAGCTGGTCTCTTACCTTTTCCAGACAGTGTTTCTCGGGAATCCTTAGTACTTACATGCTTAGGGAGCGAGCATCTAGTGTATCTGGTCAGTTTCAGGGACTTCCTGCAGCTTTTAAGTTGCTTCCTTCCAGTGAGCATCTAGTGTATCTGGTCAGTTTCAGGGACTTCCTGCAGCTTAAAGAGTTTACTCCCTAAAAGATGACATTTTACCTCCCCTTTAGAACATCCTGTGTCTTAATAGGCTTCCTTCTAACAGGAAGACCTTATCTCCAGAAGAAGGTGCTATGGTATCACCATTGAATATGCTACCAGCCCCATCTTAGTTATTCTGCTGCCACATAACTACACCGTCTCTCAGTCCATGCCACCATATGTAAGAACTATGTCCGCTGTGTGCACAGTTGAGGTACATGGGTGTTTGATAAGTAGTTCTTAGGTGACTAAGAAAAAAAAAACTGGAGTTCTCCAGTAATATTGGCAGGTTGGTCAGAATTTTGTGTTCATAGTACCACACTATCAAATGAAGATTAGTCCATTCCCTATCATCTACCTCATCGGGGTAAATTGACAAAACTTCTCTTCTGGAATTGCCTTTAGAGTCTGGTTTCTTCTCTTTTAAATATTCCAATAGTATCTGAACTTGACTCTTTGGAGATAGATTTAATTTATAAAACTATCCAAAAGTTGCTTAGAACAATATAAGAGTACTATAAAGGGGCCAGGAGTTGTAGCAACATTATTGGAACATGCAAAATTTTCCAAGGGAAACTCCTAAGTCAATTGTGAGGGTATAACATTTCCAGTACATGATCTGAGGATCCAAATTGGGCACCGAAGACACCTGTGTAATCTCAGCCACTTGGGCTGTCAGAAGGATTGAGGCCAGCCTTTCAAGCAAACTTTGTCTGAAAATAAGAAAGAGGTCTGGAAAGATTGCTCAGTGGTTAACGCTCTTCCAGAGGACACAGGTTCAGTTCCCATCACCCATGTGGCAGCTCACAGCTGTCTGTAACTCCAATTCCAGGGGGTTCAACAACTTCTTCTGGTCTCATGGGTACACAGTCGATGCACAGATATACATGCAGACCAAACACCCACATGCATTTTTTAAAATTATATTTTCTTACAAAACTTAGAATTTTAGAAATAAAAGGCAAAATAAGAAATAATGTTTGCATCTCTTTTTTCTTCTTCTTCTTCTTTCTTCTCCTTTTGGTTTTCAAGACAGGATTTCTCTGTGTAGCCCTGTCTGTCCTGGATCTCACTTTGTAGACCAGACTGGCCTCAAACTCACAGTGATCCACCTGCCTCTGCCTCCCTGCTGGGATTAAAGGTGTGCGCCATGACCACCCCACTATATCTTATTTTTTTAAAAGGATATGGCGTAATTTCATAGAGGGGAGGAGGGACATGCCTCATTAAATATACAAGTCATTACATCATTCTCTGTTCTGTCATCATTAAGCTAATTTGTGTCTCATAGTAAAGAAGTGCATTTTGCCACAGTGTTTAGTATTTCATTATAAAATAATGTTGTCTGCTAAGCCTGTACCTATAATCCCAGCAGCTTGGGAGACTGAAATTGGAGGATCACCTGAGTTTGAGGCCAACCTGAGCTGTAACAAAGAGACCCTATCCCAATAAACAAGCATAAATTATCTGTTCTCAGTACTAGATTTCGTTTGTCACATCTCACTTAGCAGAATTTGTGTTAAGGGCTTGTAAAGGGGAGGTATGTGAGCACTGTGTCATATGTCACTGGTTTCTTCTACGAAGACAGAACATTCTTCACAATCCAAAAGAAAAAGAAGATTGGTTCGGGATGTTTGACGGCTATGATAGCTGCAGTGAGGACACAAGTAGCAGCTCCAGCTCCGAGGAGAGTGAAGAAGAAGTTGCTCCTTTACCTTCCAATCTCCCAATTATCAAAAATAATGGACAAGTCTACACATACCCAGATGGTAAATCTGGCATGGGTGAGTGTCTACACTTTAACCTATTGTATAACTTTGTGTTTGAGGGTATGTTTTCATTTAACGTTTTTGTTAAGTTGGTTTGGTTATTTTATTTTTAGACAGTGCCTGCTGTGTATCCCAGACTGGTTAAGAACTCATAATCATCCAGCCTTCGAGGTGCTGGGATTATAAACAGTGGTACCATGTCTGACCTCTCCTTTAGAATTTTTAAAGGATTGTTTGAAGAAATTGAACCTGAAACTCATAAGTTCCAGTCAAGATCACAGAGTTTATCTCTGCCATCCTACCTTCTAGTAGGAAGCAAGTAGAAGAAAATCTATTGTAAGACATAAATTCAGTTAATGACTATCCTTATAGGACTGAAAATGGGGAGGATCATAGTTTTTAAAAACACTGAGATAGAGCTTCTCTGTGACAGTTATAAACTATGCGGCAACCAGGGGGGCAGTTGAGGGTTGGTTGGTGCTTTTCAGAACAGGTTGCACTGAATCACATGCTGGTCTGGAACTTGAGCTAGTTCTCCTGCCTCACTTGCCCCCATCATGCCCAGAACATAAGTTACCACCCTCAGTATAAGGTGCTGCCTATCTTTTTTTTTTTTTTTTTTTTTTTTTTTTTTTTTTTTTTTGGTTTGGTTTTTCAAGACAGGGTTTCTCTGTGTAATTGTGGAACCTAACCTGGCACGCGCTCTGGAGACCAGGCTGGCCTTGAACTCACTGAGATCCGCCTGCCTCTGCCTCCCAGGTGCTGGGATTAAAGGCATGAGCCACCAATGCCCAGCAGTGCTGCCGATCTTACACAGAAAATGGTCTCATTTTTTATTGGTTCTCAGCACTAGTATTTGCTTTATATTGAACCAGAATTACCCTGTTTTGACTCTTCATTTAGTTTTAATGCTACTTTTAAGGCTAAACTAGATGCCAAGAGGTAATGCTTCCCTAGTGTACACAATGCCTGGGTTCCATCCTTAGGACCACAAATAAAAAAGCATGTGTGCATGTGTATTGAGAATCACCGTTATGAAGAAAGTGACCTTTTTTCCTCTCTCTTTTTAAATCAAGCTGCCAGAATAATTCTAATCTTTTTATGGTGATTTTTTTCACACTTGATCACTTCCTTTGGTAGGCATATCAAATAACCACAGTCATTTCCTCCATTTAAGTAATTCCATTCATCAATATTCTGGACACTTTTCCTGGGATATTCAGATTATTTGCTAATAGGAACAGCTCCTCCTGATTTGCACCCCATCCTCAAAACATTGCCAGCAAATGGCTGGTTACACTGTGAGCAGGCCAAAAGGTATTTCAGCCTTGCTGTCTTCTTTGAGACATTGCAGTTAAGTCACTGTCTTTTTCTAAAATAATACTGAATTTCAAATAATAGATATTTCTTTTAGCATTTTTTTTTTTGAGAGGTGGGGAGAAAATGGTGAAGGCATTTATGTTGGTGCACATGCCTTAATGCACTAGGAAAGATCAGAAAGACAATTTTGTGTAGTCATTTCTCTTCCACTTTTATGTGCATGTGTGGGATTCAGTTCAGGTTGCCACGCTTGCTTTGGCAAGTGCCTTTACCTATAGAACCAGCTCATTATTTGTTTGTTGTTACTTTTGTTTGGTTGTTTTTTGTTTTTGTTTCTTGATATAGGGTTTCTCTGTTATCCCTGGAACTCTCTTTAGATCAGGCTGGCCTCAACCTCAGAGATCCACCTGCTTCTGCCTCCCAAGTGCTGGAGTTACAGGTGTGTGCCAGCACTGCCCAGCCGTTTGTTGTTGTCTTATGGCATATATAAACAACCTAAACTAATCTTGGGGCTTTGAATCTCTTTTGGAAGCTTTTTTCTTACCTTTCTTACCAACCTTTGACAGCAGAAATTTTCAATTCTGTCATCTAGTGTTGGATGCTATGTCATCTAATTTTTAAGCTGTGATTCATTTACAGATGGTGATAATCTTTTTTTTTTTTTTTTCTTTTTTTGCCTCCTACTGTCTTTTAACTAAGAAGCTGAACATGGTAGAGTCTGGTACAGAGTTCTTCAAACCATATTTAAAAAATTGTACTTAGCTAAGAGTGGCTGCAGTGGCAACATTTGAAGAGGCTAAAGCAAGAAGATCCATCATGGACTAACAAGGAAGTTATCCAAGAAACATTTTTTTTTTTTAAATCAACTTCAGTGTTTGAGGCATTATTAGCTCAGTCAGTAAAGTGCATGCTGTGTAAGCATGAGGACCTGTGTTTGATCCCAGATAACATGTAAAAAGACAAGTATGATAGTGGCTACTGTAATCGAAGCCAGCACTAAGGTGATGGAGATGGGTAAATCTATGGAGTTTACTGGCAAGTCAGCTTAACCTACTTGGCAAGCTTTGAGCCAGTCTCTTTTTGGTTTGGTTTTGGTTTTTCAAGACATGTTTTCAGCACTGGCTGTCCTGGAACTCACAGAGATCCACCTGCCTCTGCCTCCCGAGTGCTGGGATTAAAGGCATGTGCCACCACCACCTGGCCAGACTGTCTCAAGCAAACAAGGTAGATGGCATCTAAGGAACAACAGCTGAAGTTGACGCCTGGCTTCCACATGCACAGGCAGCATGCATGAGGGGACATGTGCGCACACACACATGAACTCAAACACACACACACACACACATATGCATAACGTATACACTGTCACAGAACTTCATTTACCAAAATGCACTAGGGTCATCTGGTAATTAATTCACCCAATAATCCCAGCACTTGAGAGGCTGCAGCAGGCAGATTGAGAGTTTGAGGCAAGCCTGGGCTGTATAATGAGACTTTGTATTGGGAACAAAACAAAAAGATTGCCCCCAATGAATTAAAATGTACTTAGGACCAGGAATAATCCCAGCACTCTGGAGACAGAGGCAGGAGATCTCTCTGAGGTTGAGGCCAGCCTGGTCCACACAGTAGCAAGTCCCAGGACAGTCAAGACTTGACCCTGTCTCAAAAAAAAAAAAAAAAAAAAAAACTGATATACCTAGGGAAAGAGAGATGTGTGGCTCTTCAGTAGAGCTCTTTCCTTGCATGGAAAGATACTATGTTAAATCTAGCATCACAAACCCGAAAAGAAGGATTTCCTAGGTGTTTTCTACTCCAGCTGTCACAGTTGACAAAGCTATGTGAAAACTGTAAGAAATACTGAACTTGGTATGGTGGTGCACACCTTTGATCCCAGCACCTGGAGACCAGAGGCAGGCAGAGCTCTATGAGTTTAAGGCCCTTAGACTACATAGTGAATTCCAAGCCAACCAGTGCTATATAGTCAGACCTTGTCTTTAAAAAAAAAAAAAAAAAAAAAAAAACTTAATTCCTATTACTAAATATTCTTGTTGTGGTTTGGTGATGCCATACCAGTGTGGAAATCTTAACCACAAAAGAGCATTGTAGTGTGATGTATAATCTAGTCAGGATTCATTGTCTGATTGACTGGTTTGGTTTGGTTTGGTTTTGGTGATGTAGACCAGCCTGGCCTGGAATTCACTGTGGTTACAGGGCCTGATTTTGCCTCTCAAGTGCTAGGATCAAAACAGTGTGCCACTATAGCAGACTTTTTTTTCTTTTTTAATAATAGATAATTGAAAATCTTTTTAATGATCTAGAATTTGTAGAGAACCATTCTTTTTTTTTTAGCGAATAGAACGCCCAGTATTCATTGCTAATGTCTTGGCTATTTGGTGTTCTGTCTTGTTTCCAATTCTCATGGATTTGTAAGTGCTAGTTATGCTACAAGGTGTCTTCAGTTTAACCGTTTGGATGGAACGTTAACCTATGGATTTTTGTTTTGTTTTGTTCTCTCTCTTAGGTAGTACTAAGGATTAAACCTAGGACCTTGTACATGCTAGTGCTCTGCCACTGAACTGTATCCCAGCCCACTTCTTACTGAGACAGTATTTTACTTAATTAACCCACACTGGCCTTGAGTTGACTGTATAGCCTAGGCAGACTTTGAACTCTCAACTCTTCTGCCTCAGCCTGCTTACATAGCCAGGCCCAGCTGTTTGTCTCTTTTGAATTTTGGTTCGTGTGACATGTGTTTATGTAATTCTGCCTTTTGGGCTGTTAGTCATTAAGTAATATCCATCAGAAGCTGAGCTGTCTCTTGCCGTGACCTCTGCCTCACACTCGGAGCCTGCCTTGTCCTTCTATGTCCCCTGGACATAATTTGAAAGAATCCTCTTAATTTTTCTAAATACTTCCTTTTCTTTGGTTTCAGCCTTTGCAATATTTTAAAGACTTTTGCTATAATTTTGTTAATCCTTAATTATGTTGTACTCCTTTTCATCTTTTGCTCATAATCCTATTAAAAGCTGAAATTCATTATATATATATATATATGTATGTATGTATGTGTGTGTATATATATATATATTTCAGTATATATGAAAATGCCTACCGCATAGTTAGCATTGGGAAAATGTTAGTTGGAAACGGGGTCTCTCTCTCTCTCTCTCTCTCTCTCTCTCTCTCTCATAGTTAGCATTAGGAAAATGTTAGTTGAAAACAGGGTCTACCTCCCTCCCTCCCTACACATACACACTCAGTGCTGGGGTTATAGACATGCATCACCATACCCCTTCACCATTTTAAAGCCTTTAGGACTTCAGGAAAATTTCAGACTTTATAGACCCACCACCACCAGGGCATCATACAGGTCCTATATATAACTTTATCATTTGTGTATGAGAATGGAGAAAAAATTCATTGCAGATTTTTAGATAAATACCTGTAGACAGGTGGAGAGATTTGATTTTATGATATGAACTTTCATACCGTTGTTTTTATTTTATTAATTAGCTACCTGTGAAATGTGTGGGATGGTCGGTGTACGAGACGCTTTTTACTCTAAAACAAAACGTTTCTGCAGTGTTTCTTGTTCAAGAAGTTACTCGTCAAACTCTAAGAAGGCAAGCATTCTGGCCAGACTTCAGGTAACGGTACAGAAACCTTCTTATTCTTCCTGTTTCACACAGCTTTTACTTACTTGTCATCTGACTGTGGTTCACTGCACTCCACCTCTGCCCAACCAGCTGATGACTTACAGCCTTACAGTATCTTACTTGGTGAAGACAGGCTCTCCAAAATGAGCTGTAAACTAGCATATAAATGAACTAAAAATACCTTTTCCCACATAAGTACAATGAAACACCTTATTATATGTAGAAAATATAGCCATTTTCTCTTCTGCTCCCTCCCCAATGTTACCTTGAGTTAATATCAAGGTAGATGCTAGGCGCTGGTGGCACACGCCTTTAATCCCAGCACCAGAGAGGCAGAGGCAGGCAGATTTCTGTGAGCTCGAGGCCAGCCTGGTCTACAGAGAGTTCCAGGACAGGCTCCAAAGCTACACAAAGAAATCCTGTGTCAAAAATCAAATAAATAAAAACAAGGTAGAATCACCATTTTGGTGAAAATGATTTATTCTTTGGGTGTTTCTGGGGGTTTTTTTGCTTTGTTTTTTCTTTCCCTCATCATGCTTTTTACTTTGGCTTTTGTTCTTGGGTTTTTTGCTGGTGATGAACCCCAGCTTTGTCAGTGATACGCAAGTTCAACTTCATACAATTTGATGCCTTAACCAAATATGTTTGCTAATATAACTCACCTTTTTAAAAAAAAAAAAAAAAATCCATGAAATGAAAAGAAAATCATCTTCTTTTAAGTGTATATGAGTGCCTACAGAATCCTGGAGTCTTGACTAATTGACTTAGTTGTTACTGTACCATCTAAAAATTTCTTAAAGCAGTAGAGTACTGATTTTTGTAATTATCTTTTGTATGGTCACAGTTTTCCTCATTTAACTTATTGTGATCATTACATAGCACTGAAAAGTTATTTAAATCCCCCAGATGAAGGAAATACATCACTTAGATGTATTTCTATATTTCAGATAGACAGTTCCCAAAGATCCTGAGCAGTGGTCTGTACCCAAATGGATGGCAGTTTGTCACACTGAATTTGGCCATGATCATTATGTCATTGACCTTTTCCGTTAGCACTAAAGGTATAAACCTCAGTCACTTGCTCTTTGAACATTCAGTTGTCTTTCTTACCATATCAGTAGCAATGCTTCGCAGCTGCATGAGTGAATAACACTGATTCTGTCTACTATAAGAAGAGGTCAAGTATCCACCACAGCCTATATTTTAACATTTTATGGAATATAATTTTTATTAACATATTAATTCGCATATTGCTGTTTTAGTCTGTGCCAGCTCTGCTGTCCATATTAGATAACTACATTGTAGCAGAACAAAAAGAAAACTCTCACGTTAAAATTCCTTGTATGTTTCCTCTGCTTTAATAATTTTCTAAACCCTCAGTATTTAAGCAGAATTAGTATGCAATCATGTTAAATTTCACTTGTGGAGGGGGGGTGAAGAACTCTATTTACTTAACTTTTTTTGTTTCAGGGTAAGCCTCCAACAAAGAAAGCAAAAGTTCTTCAGAAACAGCCTTTAGTTGCTAAATTAGCTGCATATGCTCAATATCAAGCTACCTTGCAAAATCAAGCAAAGACAAAAGCAGGTAATTCTGGTGAGTGTAATAAAAGAATTATTCATATGACTGGTTTCAAGTAATAGCATTTTAACCTTGGGCTATGTTTGAGCTATATTTTTTCTGTTAGCACATTAAGACTGCGCTTCCTGGTATCAGGTGGTTGGTTGTTAATTATTATAGAAGAAGGGGTTAGTTGACACACAAAGACGTTCTAGTGGTGGTGGTAATGTGTTTGTAAATACAAGTGGGAAATCACCAATCAGAAAAAAGAAATCTGATCTGGGGAAGGCATTTTTTTAGTGGTAAGTACTCACCTAGGGCATTAGGCCCTCCATCCAGTTTCTCCTACCAAAAAAGAAAATCTGAAATCCAAAATGTTTTGAAATAGTCCATGCAAATGCCTGAAAATCCATGAAACTCTGAAAGTAGTATACTTTGGGTAGCAAGTATTTAGAAAAGGGGTTTAACCAGTAAAAGGTCATATAGTCAAGTTCTTTCATCTTTATGGGAAAACAAAAGCTTTTGATGACAGTGGGTTTTGGAAAGAGGGTCTTACTATATAGCCCTAGTTGACTCTGATCCCCCTGCCATCATCTCTCAAGTGCTTGGAGTACAGGCATGTGTCATCACATTTCACCAAAAACTTTAGGGGTTGGTTGGGGTTTTTTGTTTGTTTGCTTGTTTTGTTCTTTTGAAGACAGGGTTTGTCTACGTAGCCCTGACTGTCCTGAAACTCAACTCTGTAGACCAGACTGGCCTCAAACTCCAAGATCTGCCTACATCTGTCTCCTAAGTCTCCCCAGGTACTGGGATTAAAGGCATGCCACCACCACAGCCCAACTCAAAAACTTTGTGATGGCACAGGCCTTTAATCCTAGCACTCGGGAGGCAGAGACAGGTGGAACTCTGAGTTTGAGGCCAGTGTGATCAACAGAATGAGTTCCAGGACAGCCAGGGCTACACAGAGAAACCCTGTCTTGAAAAACAACAACAACAAAATAAAAATAATAATAACTTTGGGGCTAGCAAGATGTGACTCAGCAAATAAAAGTGTAGAAACCTGAATTTAGTCCCTGGGCCCCACATGCTGTAAGGAGAACTCCCAGAAGTTACCCTCTGAGCTCCACACACATGTTTTGGTACACATGCTCCCCAACACACATTAAATAAATGAGGAACAATTTTTTTTTAATAAAATGTTAAACAATTACATCTAAGTTTACTCTATTTCAGCAGTCTCCGTGGAAGGCTTCAGCTGGGGTAACTACATCAACAGCAATAGCTTCATAGCAGCTCCAGTCGCCTGCTTTAAGCATGTGAGTATGGAATTTCTCCCTTACGTGAAATGCGATCTTTACATCTGAAGGTACACTAACCCCTCATCATCTTATCCTTAGAAAGTTTTTGTTTATACCATAAAATAAAAATGTTTCTCCTTTATTGTTATACTTAATAGTTAAGAATAACTTCTTGTGGTTTACAAGTAAAATCCTTGTTATCCCAACAAAAAAAGCTCCTTTTGAGGGCTTCTGAAGTGTTGTAGGTCAGTGGCAAGGTGATTGCCTGGAACATTCAAGGACCTGTGATTTGCCTCCAGCATTAATTTTTTTTTTAGTTGCAGGCTGGTGAAATGGCTCAGCAGTTAAGAGCACTGGCTTCTCTTCCAGGGGACTGGGTTCAATTCCCAGCATCCACGTGGTAGTTCACACTTGTCTGTAACTCTAGTTCCACGACTTGTGACATACATGTAGGCAAAAACATCAGTGACCATAAAATTTTTTTAAAAGCTTTTAGTTACAATATGAGTGATTTTTGAACAATAAAAATTACTCTCATCCAGTTTCCATGTTAAACCATATGAAACATGAAGTATGTGGAAAGAATCCTATAACAAAACTGGTTGGCAGTGTCATGTGGCTCAGCCTAGCACATCCCAAAAATTTTACAACTTAAACAGGTAATTTCTAAAAGAGTTATCTCCTCCAGTTCTGTTTTTGCCTCCAAATGTAAAATCACACTAAAGAAGCAGCAGGACAGCCTCCAAAGCCACAGAGAAACCCTGTCTCAAAAAAAAAACAGAAAAAAAGAAGCAGCAGGAGGAATGTTTTCTTGTGAGTTAGAGTAAGTAATCTGTGTCATTAAAAACAGTTTGAAAAATACTGTTTTCAGAGCATCTGATGTAAAAACAATGTGTCAGATGTCATATTATTTCACTTTGATTTATCTTTGGTAATATGCCCTAATATTTCTTAACCTGACATGATTAATTTATATTTAGAGACTGTATACTTCTGTGTGTACATAAACAGAAAAGTTATGAATTAATGCAATTTTCTTCACACTTAACATTTTGCTAAGGGCTTTAATAAATAACAGCATGTGAACAAAACTACACATGCTTTCTTACCATGAAATCCAAATGAGTTCTCTCATTCTGCCAGTGAAGGATTTTTATCAGACGGAAGCATATTAATTCACTAGTATAAATGTATATTAAACCCCGTGCATTAATTTCTTGGTTTTCTTCCTTTAAGGTACAAATGTTAAGCCCTTTGTCTGTGGCATGCTGTCTGAGATAACCTAAAATGTAACCTTTAGGTGCTTATCTGAGAGTCCAAGTGGGTGATTTATGCTATATTGTTGGAAATACTGACATATTAGTGAACTGTGTAACATATATGGTTGCATTATGTACAACAGCTACAAAGAGAACTACAGAGCTGGGGGTGTCAATCACTGGCAGGACACCTACCCAGCCACTCACAAAAGGTCCTATACTTAGCACTGCAGAGCACAAAGCACAAACCCAGCCCTCACAGTGTTGCTCTGTGGTGCTGAGATGCTCAGAATTCCATAGTAAGTCTTCATCCAAGATTGCTGGCACATTTGTCTGTTGTCTCTTTTTAAATGGCTTTCATCTTCCTTTAGATCTTCTTTTTAATGTTTTATGTCATAAACCAGGTCAAGCCTTTTTATATAAGTACCGTAATATTTTTTAAAAAATAGCATTTCAGGGTCCTGAAAGTGTATTTCAGTTCCAGTCCACATCTTTGAACAATTATACTGATGAATCAAGTTCTTCGAGTACATCACTTAAAATAATTAAGTTGGTTGATTTTGCTTACAGCTTTGCTATTTTAACATTGAAATGGTCATGGGGCAGGTAATTTTACCTTGGAAATACGTACAATTCCAAAAAGGACCAGAAAAATGGATAATAAACTTGAGAGTTGTGGTTATGTGAAATGGAGCTGTTTGAATGGGGTTGGAGATAGTAATAAAGGACCTTTAGACTTGCAATGTTTTGCTTTTTTTAACAAGGAGAATATAGATTTTATAATTTAAAATCCAGTTCAGGATCTGTATGGTAGCATATACCTACAATCCTAGCACTTGGGAGGTGGAAGCAGAAGGATGCAAGAGTTCTAGGCTAGCCTCAGCTACATAGTGAGTTCAAGACTAGCAGTAAAGAAGGATAGTCTATGGCGTAGAATAGGATAGCTAAATAAGGATAATGTGGCACCTTCACTTTCTCACTCAGAAAAAAGTGTCTGTGGAGCCCATCATTCCTGTTTCACTCTCCTTTCCTCACTGCTTCCTCCTCCTTACCAGAGAGGAAAACCTTTGACTTGGTATAGTGAATTTACTTTGTTGCTTTAATCAACATTTTCAGTTGAAGCCGTTTGATTTAAGAGGTAGAACTATGCTAAACTTGATTTTATTCTTCAGAGTTGACTCTCCAGTCTTTCCCAGAGATCATTTTCTATCTTGTCTCTAAGAAAAGTTACTGGTTTGGGCTGTGGGAAGTCTGTGACCCGTAATTACTGGGAACAGAAGACCTTGTCTCATACCATCATCCCTCTAAGATTTCACATGTTCTCTAAGAGGGTTTTCTTCTTAGAGACTCAAGTCTGCCCTCTTGCCAACTTGAGTATCAAATAGGAGCCTTGTTGCTGGTAGAGATTCTTTTCCAAACCTAATTTATAAATGCTCATCTGTAATGTGTGATGCAGAAGCAAAGCTGTTCTGGTTGAAACAGGAGTTGTTGTGAGCGTGTTGTCAGAATCCTGACTGCCTGGATTTTCCAGTTTAACCAGCCTCTACTCAAGTAAGGGTCCAAATACCCTACCTTTTCAAGGCACTTAAAACAGACAGACACTTTCAAGTGTGAAGTTATTTAGATTTCTGGAAATGAAGTTCCACAACATACACTGTAAGACTAGAGAGATGGCTCAGCCCTTAAGCTCATACACTGCTCTTGCAGGACTCAAGTTCTGTTCCCAGCACCCAACTTGAGTGGTTCAGAACTGCCAGTGACTCCAGCTCTACAGAGATTTGATGCCTATGGCCTCCATGGGCACCTTCATAATACAAAAAGCCACAGACACACATGCATAAATATAATTTAAAATACAAATTTAGGAAAATAAAGATATGGAGTCAAGTGATGATCACAGCACTCAGAAGGATAAACCAAGTGGGCAGCATTGTGTGTGTACTCAGTACCAGGCCTACTAGGTGACATAGCATGACTTTGTCTGATAAATAAACAAACAAAAATTCTTTGGAACCAACCCTGGTGCTGTAGCCCTATAATCTCATCTACAAAAGGATCACAAGTTTAAGGCCAGCCTGGGCAGTTTGGTGAGACCTCATTACCACCAAAAAGAAAATAAGTCTACAATGAAATTTGAGTCCCTTTTGTCCTTTCCCATATTATTTCTTTCCTCATAAAATCTGACTCAGACTTTAGTCACAAGAAACTACCCTGACTGGTTTGGCAAATTGGTCTCCAACCATTGTCCACCTTTCCTTTGTTTTGTAGTCCTGAGGTGGAAATCACTGAATTGGATAATAAAAATTTTTACTTAATCCTAAATTAACCAGATATGGTAGCACATACTTGTTATCCCAGGAGTCAGGAATCTGAGACAAGAGCACTGTGAGTTCCAGGCAAACCTGGCTGCAGTGTGAGACTATCAGAAACATTAAAACTAATGTGTAATCCAAAGCTGGTGGCATCTTCAGAATCCTTTAGCTCTCCTAGACCACTTCTTAAGTAAAGCTTTACTACTTTTTTGAAGCTGAGTTATAATTTTTAAACTTAATTTTCATAATTTAAGGTCTTTAGTTCTTTTTCAGATTGCTTTTGTTATTTTAATTCTGGATATGCCTGCACGTGGGTGAGCACATAAATACAGAAGCCCATGGAGGCCAAAGATGTCAGACCCCTTGAAGCTAGAATCACAAGTGGGTGTGGGTCACCTGGCATGGGTGTCGAGAAACAAACTAAAGTCCTCTACAAAAGCAGTGTGCCCCTAGCCATTTCTCCAGCCCTGTCTTAGTTCTTGGTTAGTTGTATCCACACAAGGCAAAAAACCAACAAAACACATAATACTAATATAGAACCATATTCCACTTAGAGATGCTGCATAGATTCCTCAGATTCACAGATGTTTATCTGGGCAGGGGAGGTTGACAGAAAATTGACATAGGGTTTCTCACTTCTTAACCCAGGCTGATCTGGAACTTAATCTTCCTGTCTCAGCCTCCTAAGAGGGATTATAAGTGTGTGCCATCATGTGCAGTTGTGCTATGACTTAAGGTTGGGAGGGGGGGTCAGTGTTGGGTTTTGTGGTAGGGAATGGGGGTGTTATTGTTTCTTTTTCAAAGCTGGACCACTATAGATCAGACTACCTTGGAAGTCATGGCAGTCCTCCTGCCTCAGCTTCTTATGTGTTGTGATTAGAGACATGATCTATCACACCTAGCTTATATTATAACTTTAAAGTTAAGTTTGTTTGACCTTTTCATTCTGCCTCCATGAATATACCTGGTATCACTTACATAATACAGTCTTTGTTGCTTTTATCTGTAATCTGAGTGCAGCCTTTTTGAAGAAAAAGGTTTTTTATTTATTTGCAACATGTATCATACGTGCTTATTTTGTTTTAATGGAGAGATGGGTCAGCAGTTAAAGCACTGGCAGCTCTTCCAGAGGACCTGAATTCAATCCCCAGCACCCACAGCTCACAACAGTCTGTAACTACAGTTCAAAGGGATCCAACACCCTCACACAGACATGAATGCAGACAAAACACCAGTGCACAGAAAATAAAATTTAAAGAAAAGAAAAACAGAAGCCATCTTGTTTGCATATGACCTATAACAATAGTTTAACTTTGAAGTAAAATTCACAATATAATTTCACAGATACGTGTTTATTAGGAATATTATTCAACTAAAATTACCTTTTAGTGTGTTTCCCCCTCTGTCCTTGACCCACAGAAAGAGAACTCTGGAAAATGCATAATAAAACTTGATCTCTTTTATAATTGAAGATCAAACCTCCATGTTATCTTTGGTTATAAAATTTATTTCTAATAAAAATAAAACTTGGGGCTGGAGAAGTGGCTCAGCGGTTAAGAGCACTGGCTGTTCTTCCAGAGATCCTGAGTTGAATTCCCAGCAATCACACAGTGGCTCACAATCATCTCTAGTGAGATCTGATGCCCTCTTCTGGCATAAAGATGTACATGTAGATAGAGTACTCATCTACATAAATTAAATAAATCTCTAAGAAAACTTGAGTTGGTTTCTGGTGCTTAATGTTCTACCCATGCTAACACTTAACACGAAATGCATTCTCTCTACAAAGGCAGCAAGATCCCATAGTGAAAATCACCTTCCATAGGTTTTCAGGAAAACTTAATTTAAAAGGAAGCCTAAATAAATCTCAATGAATGTCTTAACTTCAGACTCTATCCCAGAGTGGTTTTTGTTTTTCTTTTGGTATCTCCTAATGATTAAACTATGTTTTGTTTTATTTTAGTTAGGCAGTTTTAAACCCAAGTGTGGTAGTACATACCTATAATCTCACACGTAGAAGTCTTCCTTGTTTGGGAAGCAATGAGGCAGGAGGATCACATTGAGTATGAGGCTAGTTTGGTCTACATGGTGAGTTCGAGGCCAGCCTGGACTAAGACCTTGTCTCAAAAAAAAACGGGGGGTGAGGGGCTTCAATAGTAGTTTCTACTTTTTTTTTTTTTTTAACATTTGTAGCATTTTTCTCAGGTGTTCTCAAACATTCCATTTTCCTTGCACTCCCCATTTCTATGCTGCCATCACCCCCACGCACCCCCAATAGATTCTAGTGTCAGATCAGGTGAGTATACTTTGGACAGAATACATTGGACTTTTTATTTGTTGTTTGGGTCAGGTTGTATATTGAGATGCAGGGCCTTGCTATGTATCCCAAACTAGCTTCAGACTCAAAAAGCTCCTGCCTCAGCCTCCCAAGTGCTGCAATTACAGATGTGCAGCACTGTGCCTGGATTCTTGCCTTGTTCATCTTTCTCTAATAATCATGTACTTTAGTAATCATGTACTTTTTCGTTCTGAGATATAGAAATGGTGGATTTTGCTTGGTTTCCGACCTACAAATTCAGGTCTAACCTATGCCCGTTTATACTCTCTAAAGGTTGAGTGTGGTTATCAAAAGTTGAAGGTTTGCAGTGCTGTGGAAGGAAATCTTTATTTCTGTATGCATCATGTGTGCCCTCTTAGAATCTAAACACAGTCATCTGGGCTATTGAACTATCTGGGAATGTTCTCGGAATGAAGGAAATAAGACTTCCTGCAGGTTATTTTCTTTCAGATAGGTAGGTGGAGGTTATCTTACATTGTGTTGGGGACCCCCCTCAGCATTTGGATTTGGCCATCTCTACAGGACCTGATGACAGCTTACTTTGCAGGGAAGGAGAGTCGCTCCCAGATAGCTCTCACGAGTGGCCCTGGAGCAGGAAGTGGTGGAGCAGATCTTCCTTGTTTGGGAGGAGCCTGAGGTAGACCTCGCATCCTGAGTCTGGAAGGTAAATTTGTTGTTACCTGTAAATGATGGTTCTGCTAGTTCATGCTATACCAATCCAGACTTCAGAGGTATCCCTCCTGCCAGCAAGAGAAGACAGATGACTTGGATGAAGATGGCTGTCAAGCCCTGGGTCATTTCGTCTTCCACACTTAAAGAATATTCATTTTTTTAAAAAGGGCAGATTTATCTATGAAATCACTATCATTTCAACACATCGAGCACATACTCGGTTATAACTGTAGTGCTCTATCTTGTTGATGTTTGTTTCTTCATTTTTTTTCATAGTGTAAACCATATGGATTGGTTTAAGAGGGCCTAGCAGAACCACAACCTTACAGGCAAGAACAAATGTCACTTTCTGCTACTTTCTCCTATACCAATCCAGACTATAGGGACCAGACCAAAGATCTCCCACTCAAGTGAGCATTACCTTTTTTTTTTTCTTTTAGTAAATATTGACACTTCTTTTCTTGAGTAAATAACATTAAAAAATATTTTCTCCAAAGATAATATTGAAGCTTTAAAAAGAAATCAGCGCAACAGATTGTCAACTCTAGCCCAGAAAAGAGTCCTGTATGCAAATTTCATTTAGCATTGTGCCCACCTAACCTGTAGCTTGTCAACATAACCACAGTTCTCAGTAACAACCAAATTTATAGATTTGGCAGTCAAGCAAAGAGTAGCTACCCTACTTGAGTTTAACGCAGCTTTATGCATGCATTTACCTTCACCTATCTTCTCTGATTGCTTAGCTTTCCAAGAATAAATGTATGGTCTTTGTATTGATGTATGTTAGCTTAGTTTGTGTTACCTGTCTTCCTAGCCTCTCCTTTTCTGATCATATCTGCTGGCAATAGGGATGGCCCTACAGTCTAGAATGATGTAGGGAGAGGTAGCAGAACCTGAAGGGTCCAATCTTCCTGTTTAAAAAGGAAAATCAGGCATGGTGGCACACAAACCTACAACCCTAGCACTTTTTGGGGAGGGGGCTGTGACAGGAGCATTGCAAATTTGAGGCCAGTGTGGTATACATGGCAAATTCCAGGCCAGCCTGAGCTATATAGCAAAGCCTGTGTCAAAAGGGAAGGAGGTGGTTTTGTTTGTTCCTTCCCTCTTGGGAAGATGTATATGTGTTTCTTCCCCATAATCAAAAATAATGGAGATTGGGTGTGTCTCTAAGATAATAAGGTATATTTATTGCTTGCTACTCAAAGAGTTAGCTATTAATTGGTTCTGTTTTTGGTTTCTAGATCTTAGTTTGCTATTATTTGACATTCTGTTTCCTTCAGAAATTTACAAACTGTTTAGAGGGCAGGAATTAAATATTGCTTTAGGCTGGCTCTATTCTGAGTTACCATCAAAGTATAAGGGGCATTCCTTCCATGCCCACCTAACCTGTAGCTTTTTTCCCAATGTCCATATTTATTAGTTCATGTCTGTGCTTGCCTATCTTTTAATTTGAGGCTGTTTTGTTTTCACCTGATTTATTCATATTATCAGGCCTTCTGGAACCTTACCTTATCCTTTTATTTGTGTCCAGTGTTCTACATTTCATGGAAACCTGATTATCCAGGGCCACAGAGACTAGAATTATCAGCACTAGTGAATAATTATAAACTCATGTACTTGATTAATTTACTGTTGCATAAAGTCCAAGTAATTGTGTATTGCCTTACAATTTAAGGATTCATAGCAATGGGAGCGTTACCTTTTGGGAAATGTGACTGTTATACTCTTAGGTAAGGTTTGCTGGGTTGCCATCTTAACCAGTAGTATGGAGGCCAATGGTCTACAGCTCTAACATGGGAAGTTTTATTTTCATAGTAATTGTTGCATGAGAAATTTTGAGACAATAAATTGTTTAACAATTACTGCAGGCCTCTCTTCCACTCCCCCCCCTTTAATGACTTTCCCACTGCTTTTTCCTGTCCCTCTTAATAGACTGTATTTGCATTATGTGGATTTAACTTATATTTGAAATACAAATACATGTTTTATTTCTCCGGATCATATTAAAGCCTGTTACTTGAATTTATTTTTTTTCCTACTCTTGGACAAGATCTTTAAAAATTAAGGGTTAAAGTATTTTCATTCAGTACACATTAAAAACATTAAATTCCTCAAGTCACCTTGATTTTATGGTGTTGGCCAAGTTTGTAATTCAGGTTTTAGAATAATTGTTACTTAGATGTCACATTTGGTGTGAATTTCGAAGTCATCGTGTATCTAATAGGTTCAGATTCTGTCTTTTATCTTGAATTTAAGTCTGACTCTGGCTTTCTCAAAATAGAATCTTTACAACAATGAATAGAAACTATACTTTAAGAAAATATGAATGGATGAAAATGACATATTTATTTGAGCAGTCCATTGTTGATACTTAATTTTGAATGATAACTTAATAATTTTTGTATAACAGGCACCTATGGGGACCTGCTGGGGTGATATCTCAGAAAATGTAAGAATAGAAGTTCCCAATACAGACTGCAGTCTACCTACCAAAGTCTTCTGGATTGCTGGAATTATAAAATTAGCAGGTGAAATCATACATGATGATTTACTAGAAAATGCTAGTAATACAAACTTGTTTTTAAAAATATATATATAAATTTTTCTGGGTATTACAAATAAATAATACATGTATAGTAGGAGTTGGCAGATATTTTTTGTACAAGACCAGACAATAAATTCTTGGATTTGTACAGTTTGCTCTATTACACTACCCATTTCCCCCATTTTAACATGTGAACAACTATAGTAACATAAAAACAGATGGCTATAACTGTAGAATTTTATGAAATCTGAGTCTCATGAAGCTGTCACTTCTTTATCTGAAGGAAATACTGTTCCTTCAGTTCTTTCTAGCCATTAAAAAGGAAAAAAAAAAGCAGTAAGCCAGGCCAGCTGGGTGGGCTTTATCTCCAACTTGTCTCTCTATAACACTCTTACTACTGCTTTACTGTACACTGCCCGTATTACCTAAAAGTGGCCTTGTTGCCAGGTGTGATGGCCTCACACCTTTAATCCCAGTACACCCGAGACAGAGGCAGATAGATCCCTGAGTTGAGGCCAGCCTGGTCTCTGTATCGTGTTCCAGGTCAGCCAGGCCTATGTAACCTTATTTCAGGGGGGAAAAAAAGTGCCCTAGAGGGGTGAGGGATAAATCCAAGTGGCTTTATGTGTTGCTGGGCAAGGCCTCTCCCAGTAAGCCACATCCCTGTGCCCTAAAAATCATTCTAATGACACTTTGCTCTTTCGGGCATCGTCAGTAGCCTCTCATCCCATCCTTTAAGGTAGTCACAGCTTCCAGCTTCACTCTATAAAATGCTGGGCAGATTTTTTTTCTTCCCCAGTCTAAATGCTCTGTTAACATGAAGTTGGTCTCTTTCATTCGAAGATTTTTATCTTATCAGTGCCTTTGATCACTCTGGCAAGAGTCTCGGGCTCTTGTGTTTTCTCCTATCTGCTTCAATCCCATGTCTTTTCCTTGAGACATTGGTCTACATAAGCATTCTTTAAATGCTTCTGTTGTTCGCTGCACTATAATTCATGACAGCATTTATGTCCCAGATGTTTGAGTCACTTGCGTGTAAATAGTTCGAAAGATAGTACATTTACAGTCTAACAATTACTCCTAATTAATTACTGATTCTGGTTTTATGTTTCTGGTTTTTTCTGTTTGTCTCATATATCTGTACTATTTTGGTAGTAAGCCTCAAAGAAGCAGGGTCTAATACTCCTACAGCAAGTTGAGGTAAAAAAAAGCAAGAAAATCCCCCCAAAAACTCATGGACCAGCTAACCTGGCATACACTGTGGCAGACAACAAAAAGACCTTTTACTCAAAGTAGGAGAGGACCAACACCTGAGATTGTCCTCTGACCTGCACACAAATATGACACACACGCACACACACACTCTCCAAAAACAAAACTTTTAGAACTGTTTCAGACATGTTGATCACACTTAACATTCCAACACATGGGAGGTGGTGGAGCAGAAGGTCGTCTACAGCTATTCAGTCAATTTGATGCCAACTTCACCTACACATTCTCACGAAACTATCCCACCACTTGTTTTAATTGAGGTGTTTCCCTCTTCTGAGAATTTGAGAAATTATAGATTAATTGAAATTTGGGGGTCGGGGAGGGGGAGACCATGCTCTGAAAAATTGACTTTGTATTAACAAGGGACTCTCAAAGTTAGACCATAGTCCCAACAGGTTCAGTATTACCCAGGGACTTAGAAGTGTAGATTATTCACACCACCCTGTGTCTAAATCCCAATCCCTGACATGGGAGGGACCCCCTGGAAGGGACTACCCTCTGCTTATAGACAACGCAGGTGGTTCTGCTGCAGCCATCACCCTAGGGACTGAATCATTTTAGTTTTGTTATCTTACTATGTAATGATTGATTTGTTGGTTTTAGGTTACAATGCTCTTTTGAGATATGAAGGATTTGAAAATGATTCTTCTCTAGACTTCTGGTGCAATATATGTGGATCTGATATTCATCCAGTTGGTTGGTGTGCAGCCAGTGGAAAACCTCTCGTTCCTCCCCGAAGTGAGTAGCCTCACCATCAATTTATTCCACATTCATTTTTTTTATAGGTGTGAGTATTTTGCCTGCATGTATGTATGTATGCATGCCTGGTTCCACAGAGGGCATTGGAGCCCTCAGAGCTGTAGTTCTTGACAGCTGTGAGCTACCTTCTGGGTGCTGGGAATCAAACTTCAGTACTCTGTGAGAGCAGCGACAAGTGCTCTAAACCACTGGGCCAACTCTCCAACCCAACATTTTAAATGTATGTGTCGTAATGCTGTCTTACACATAATATCCTAAAGTGATACAGAAATTATTTGTATGTCACATAATTTTTATGTTAGCAAGACATACTTACTTTCTCTATTGCTGCTTTTCAACACTAATTCATACTCACATCTTCCAGAGAAACTAGTTAACTTTGTTTTTGTTTTCTGTTAATTATTTTGTGAAACAGTTCTGTTTGCTAAAGGATAACTATAGTTATTTCTTTTGTTTTAGCTGTTCAACACAAATACACAAACTGGAAAGCTTTTCTAGTAAAAAGACTTACCGGTGCCAAAACTCTTCCTCCTGATTTCTCACAAAAGGTAAATAAGATCCTTAAAGAATTTAAGTGCCAATTTAAAAGAATTACTTAGGCAGGCAGTAGCCCACACCTTTAATCCCAGCACCCGGGAAGCAGAAGCAGGCGAATCTCTGTGAGTTTGAGGCTAGCCTGGTCTACAGAGTGAGTTCCAGGACAGCCAAGGCTACATAGATAATCCCTGTCTTTTAAAAAAAAAAGGAAAAAGGGGTGGGAGAGCTTAAGGAATTATAGTTTCTGAACTGTTAAATATCAAAGTATATGTTTAGAAAGGGTGAGTCATACCTATGATCTCAGTACCCAAGAGACTGAAGCAGAAAGATGGCCAAAAGTTTAAGGTTAATAACTAGACTAAAAATGAAACCCTATTCCCCAAAACAAAACAAGAACTGATCATGGCAGTGCCAAATTTAATCCTGCACTTGGGTGGAAGAGGCTGGTGGGTCTTCGTGATTTGGAGATGAGCCTTGTGTACATAGCAGGTTCCAAAACAGCCAAGACTACATACTGAGACCCTGTCTCAAAAAAAAAGACAAAAATAATATATTAGTACATTCAACATTGACTAGGCAATAACAAAACTACTTGTAGACCTTTGTCACGAGTCTCAAATGGGATTTTTTTCTGTGCTTTTGTTTGAAGGTTTCAGAGAGTATGCAGTATCCTTTCAAACCTTGCATGAGAGTAGAAGTAGTTGACAAGAGACATTTATGTCGAACAAGAGTAGCAGTGGTGGAAAGTGTAATTGGAGGAAGATTAAGGTTAGTGTATGAAGAGAGTGAAGATAGAACGGATGACTTCTGGTGCCACATGCACAGCCCCTTAATCCACCATATCGGATGGTCTCGAAGCATAGGCCATCGATTCAAAAGATCTGGTAAGCAACTTTAAAACACAAAAACTTTAAAAATATCATTGAGGGTGAATAAACTGCTTGATTGTTTCTCTCTACAAAGCATAGATCAAAGATGCATTCTAGTTTGGCTATTCTACTGTAATTACGGTATTAATCCTTGTGTTCCTTCCTCTTCCTGCCCAGTTAAAATAATGTACTTTTTTATGCATGGGGCCATGGGTTCCATTTCTAGCACACACACACACACACACACAAATTTTTTGAAATTTTTTTTCCTTAAAATTACAATTGTCTCATTATTCCTTTCTTATCCAGAGCAATTGAAAGATGTGAAGGGATCTCCTTTCCACTTAATTGTCATCTAAATGGCAACATTAAGTTTAACTAGACATGATGCTACACACACAACAACAACATTCTTCTAGAAAAGCCTAGTGCACACTATGCATCAGGGTCAGGCATGATCATCAGGAGTTCAAAGACAGCCTCAGCAGCTTAGTGAGCCCCTGCCTCAAAACCAAAAGTGAAAAGACCTTGGGAGACAGCTTGGTATTAAGAGTATTTGGCTTGTGTGAGGTGTGAGGCACTCTGTTCAATTTCCAGTACCACACCAAAAGGAAAACAAGCTTCTAATGTTGTAATTCCCATGTTATGGAATTACCAGCATTGTAATTAACTAAAATGTAATAGTATATGTACAGGGTTGGAGAGATGGCTCAGAGGTTAAGAGCACTAACTGCTCTTCCAGAGGTCCTGAGTTCAATTCCCAGCAACCACATGGTGGCTCACAACAATCCATAATGAGATCTGATGCCTTCTTCTGGCCTGCAGGGATACATGCAGACAGAACACTGTATACATAATAAACAAATAAATCTTTAAAAAAAATATGTACATGTGCTCTCAACACAGAAGAGATGTTAATATCATTTACCATCATTTTGGTTTTTGTTGTTGTTGTTGTTGTTGTTTTGGTGTTCTCACAAATGCTGACAGATTAGTATGTAACTTTTCCTTGTAGATATTACAAAGAAACAGGATGGACATTTTGATACGCCACCACATTTATTTGCTAAGGTAAGAAGTTTCTATAAGACCCCTCATTTGTAAATTAGATTGAAAGAAGGTTGTGGGGGTTTTCCTAAAATTATGGATATCACATATACTCACTTAAAAATTAAAATCTATATTCCTTAGGTGTTACAGGGATTATACTCATTCCTAAATTATGTGTACCTGTATAAGTTCTTTCTGTTCTCTAAACAAAGGGAATTATAACATTAGACAAATAGGAAAAGACATCTGGTAAATTTTTTAAATTGGATTTGGGTGGAGAGGGGAGTTTCAATACAGGGTTTCTCTGTGTGGCACTGGAAGTCTGTAGACCATGCTGGCCTTAAACACAAAAATCCACCTACCTGCCTCTGCCTCCCAAGTGCTGGGAATAAAGGCATGCCCTTCACCACCCAGCCAGAAATATCTTCATTATTAAAGAAGCTGAAGAAAGAGGTTTACAAGTTTCAGACCAGCCTGTGCTACAGAGACAGACCCTGTTTGAGGGAGTGGCAGGGCAAAGGGAGGACATTTACAGGCCAGGAAGGGATAGCAGGTTCACGTACTGCTATCTTACAGGTACTGCTCACTTACACATCCTGATGCTCTGAACATCTGTAAAAAGCCTGGTGCAGATACCGTGAGTGCATGTGTAATCCAAGCACTCCTACAGCAAAATGGGAGGTGTAGATAAGAGAATTGCCTGGAAATTTACAGCCTGTAGTACAGGGTACAGCAGACACAAGAAAGAGATCCTTCCTTCCCAACAAGGTGGGAAGGAAGAACTGACTCCCAAAAGTTTTGTGACCTACACCTGCACATATAAGTCCACGCACACTAAATCAATAATTCTAAAGGACATATAAAATAGTGTATATGCTTTCTATAGGTAAAAGAAGTAGACCAGAGTGGAGAATGGTTCAAAGAAGGAATGAAGTTGGAGGCTATAGACCCATTAAATCTTTCTACAATATGTGTTGCAACAATTAGAAAGGTAAGAGAATATGTTCTAAATTGAAGAGATTCAATCAGAAGAACCAGGTTTAAAAACAGAAGGGAGGGGCTGGAGAGGTTAAGAACACTGACTGTTCTTCCAGAGGTCCTGAGTTCAATTCTCGGCAACCACATGGTGACTCACAACCACCTTGAATGAAATCTGGTGCCCTCTGCTGGCCACCAGATAAATAGAATCTTTAAAAGGATAATTTATTATTAAAAAAAAAAAAAAAAAACAGAAGGGAACCACAAGCAGATATATTTTGAAAAAAGATATGTATGTCTGGATCTTCATTGGGAATAAAGTTAATAAAGCTTTCTAAATAAATTTGAATTCTGTTGTCAGATCTACTTAGTTTCTAATGTGTTATAATCAAGATCAGGACATCACAGCCCCTTTTCACCCAAAACTTTAATGCAACCCACGGCATACAGTTTTATAAAATACTTACACAAACACCTTCAGGTATCACAAATTTATTTTAAAACAGTTTGTTGGTATAATTTTACTGTTTATTACAGACAAAATCAAACTTTTACATACTAATGAGATAGATATGCTTATTGTCTAATAGAACAATCCAAATAAAGGTTAATTTGATACTTATAAGCTGAAGAAAGGTACAAGATAGTTGCAGATTCATGTGTGAGCTAGGAATATTTCAGGAAGGTTCTTGTAACAGTGTATACAATATAGCATGAGGAAGAAAGAGTTTCTTTCTACCCATATAGCCCATCATTGAAGAAGCCAAGGCAGGAACTTCATGAAACAGAAACCACAGAACAATTCTGTTCACTGGCTTGCTCAGAAAGTTTTGTTTGTTTGTTTATTTTGGAGACAGTCTCTCACTATTTAGCCTTGGCTATCCTGAAACTCTCTATGTAGACCCAGCTAACCTGGAACTCACAGAGATCTGCCTACCTCTGCATCCTGAGTGCAGAGCTTAAAGGTGTGTGCTACCATGGCTGGCTATGAGCTATTTTTCTTACACAGCTAGGCCCTCCCTGCCTAAGGATTGTACTATCCACTGTTGGCTGAGCTTTACTACACCATTTAACAATCAAGAAAATGTCCCACTGACATGCCCACAGGTCATTTTGATATAGGCAGTTCCTCAATTGAGGTTCCCTTATTCCTGGTGACTTCTAGTTTGAGACAAGTCAGCACATTTAAGAAATGCTAAGTGGTTGACATGCATACAGTATGCATACGAAAGTTGGGGCTTTGGCTGTAGCTCAATGGTAGAGCATTTGCCTAAGATGTGCAAGACTCTGGGATCAATCCTCTGTACAAACAAACAAACAAACAAAAAGATGTCAACAGGACAGCCAGGGCTACACAAATGGGGGGGACAGGTCAGGTTTCAGAGTTGGTTTCACAGTTAAAAGCTCTTGCAAAAGTAACTCAGCTTGGTTCCTAGCATCCACGTGGTAGCTCATGATCATCCATAATTGTAGTTTTAGGCAATCTGATGCCATTTTATGGCCTGGATAAGTATCAAGGACACACATGCTGTTCTGGCATAAATACAGGCAAAAACACCCATATACATAACATTATTTATAAATTTATAAGTGCTTTAAGATTTTTTTTTTTTAAACAAGAGCCAGAATGTTTTGAGATAGGAGTTGTGAACTAAGTGGTTGATTACTTCTGAAGGACTAAAGAAGGAGCTGTTGGCTTGACACAAAGACTATCTAGCTCTCAGACAACATGTTCATCATGGAGATAAATACTGAGACTCTGGATGGGAGGCAAACTCCCGTTGATCATGAAGTTGACAGTGTCTGAGGTCATTGAAACAAAGCAAAGAGCTAAAATCAGAAATTTAAGGGTTGGAGGTGAAAAGCCAAGTACGGAAAGAGTTATAGAGGGAATAATAGAGGTGTAAATATTAATCTGTAGACCAGAATATGACAGTCTAGGTTGAATGCTTTTAATCCTAGCATTCAGAAGGCATAAGCAGGCTAATTGAGTTTAAGGCCAGCCTGATCTCTGTAGTGAGTTCCTAGCCAGTCGGGGAAGTACATAGTGCATAGGGAAATAGACCACTGAATTGAGAAAATAAGGCTGTCAGAGAATTTTGCAGTCTAGATAAGGATAGAAATGGGAGAGCAACAAATTGCATAGTATGTACCTTGAACTAGGTCTCAGAGTGCAGTCTACTGAATTCACTGCAATAACCTTAGGCCTTTTGTGTTTGAACCTGTCTCAATTTTTCCTTTTTTCTTTCTTAGTTGTTATGCAAGGTATAATGTGAAGCCTGGCAGTGTTGGCACATGCCTTTAACCCAGCACTCGGGAGGCAGAAGCAGGAGCACTGGGTGCTCTTCCAGAGGTCCTTAGTTCAATTCCCTGCAACCATATGGTGACTCACAACCATCTGTAATGAGATGTGGTGTCATCTTCTGACATGCAGGCAGAACACTGCATACTAAATAAATATATAAGTTTTTTTTTTAGTGTGGTAGGAGCTAAACGAGATGCTGCAAGTCTAGATTTCCAGGCTTTATAAGTTGGAGCAAGAGCTTCTCAAGTTTAAGTCCTAATGTTAGGAGGTAGGCATGCTACTTAACAGCAGTCTGAGGCATAAAGTGGAGTTAAAGTTGGGCCCAAGCAGCCTTAGTATCATAGAAGAGCATGGTAAAAGAAGGCAAATTGGCCAGGCAGTGGTGGTGCATGCCTTTAGTCCCAGCACTCGAGAGGCAGAGGCAGGAGGATCTCTGTGAGTTCAAGACCAGCCTGATCTACAAGAGTTAGTTCCAGGACAGCCTCTAAAGCCACAGAGAAACCCTGTCTCAGAGGGGGGGGGGGGGCAAGTTGAAGAGAAGGAAAGCATTACCATGTTAGGACTAAGAACCTGATAACTTACACTAGATGTTTTTTTGTTGGTGGTTTGGTTTGGTTGCAGGGGGAGGGTAGGGGAGTTGTTGTTTTTTCAAGACAGGGTTTCTCTGTGTAGCTTTAGCTGTCCTGAAACTCACTCTGTAGACCAGACTGGCCTAGAATGGAGATCACAGAGATCCACCTGCCTCTGTCTCCCAAGTACTGGGATTAAAGGCATTTGCCACTATATTTTGTTCGTGTGTGTGTGTGCGTGTGTGCGTGTGTGTGTGTGTGTGTGTGTGTGTGTTGTGTCTTTTTATCAGAAGGCAACTTGAGGGAGTTGGATCTCTCACTCCACCATGTGGGTCCTGGGCACTAGATGATCAAATTATGAAAAGAATAATTCAATCAGTTATTCAGCAAAGACATTGGTTTTTTCCAAGCATCTGAACTCATCTCTGTGTAAACTCGCTTTTCTGAAATCACTTCTGTATGGCTTTTGTTTCTTATACATTAACAATTTACATCAGTTTCTCATTATTGTATCTAACATCCAATAAAAAAGCGTTTTTTACTTTTAAAGTGTCTTTATGTAATACTTTCGTTCAGAATATAATTTAAAATATTGTTTTTTGTAATATTGGTATTCATGTTCACATACTTGGGATTCTCTTGATTTCAAAGGTGCTGGCTGATGGGTTCCTGATGATTGGGATCGATGGCTCAGAAGCAGCAGATGGATCTGACTGGTTCTGTTATCATGCAACCTCTCCTTCTATTTTCCCTGTGGGTTTCTGTGAAATTAACATGATAGAACTGACTCCACCCAGAGGTATTCCATCCCGGTATAAACACTCAGTTCTTAGTCTTGCTTTGTTTTTGTATGATATCTGCTTACTTTTAGCACAGTGTGTATATTTATACACAGTATGTGTGGGTATGTATAGATAGACTGAAACATGCAAGAGCTATGAGATGCTCTTAAATTGGGCATGGTGGTACATGCTTGAAATCCCAGCACTTGGGAGCAAAGACAGGAGGATCACCCACAAGTTGGAGACCTGCCTTCTGCTCTAATAGTGAGTCCAGGGCAGCTAAGGCTACACAACAAAAACCCTGACTCGTGGTTAATACATTAATTAAAGTAAAAACACAAACATTGTATTCTAGATCATTTTAATGGATTACAGTGGAAGTTTTTCCTGAATCTTTTATTATTTTTTATGTATGGATGTTTTGCCTGTATGTATGTCTGTGTACCACTTGTGTGCTGTGTACCTTCGGAGGCAAGAATAGGGCATCAGATCCCTTGGAAATAAAGTTGCAGACAGTTAGGAGCTATAGGTGCTGGGAACTGAGCCTAGTCTTCTGGAAGAGCAGCCACTGGTCTTACCTACTCAGCCATTTCTTTGCTCCTACGTGAGCACTTTTTAAATGGATACTTGGCCTTCATGGAAATGAAGCTCCTCTCTCGAATGCCATGTAGCTTCTATTTTTGTTTTGTTGAGATGTATTCTTAGCTGATCTGGAACTCACTATATAGACAATGGGCATTCTCCTGCCTCTGCCTCCAGAGTTCTGAGATTAAAGGCATGTATGAGCAAACCTAGCTTTATACCTTTTAAAAGAAAGTATGTCTTGCCTGGTCTCCAGAACAAGTGACAGGATAGGCTCCAAAGCTACACAGAGAACCCCTGTCTCAAAAAAAAAAAAAAGTATGTCTTTAGCAACTCATGGTTTCACCAGTGACTTTTATTTTGGTTTTTTGTTTGGTTTTTGGTTTTTCGAAACAGGGTTTCTCTGTAACTTTGGAACTTGTCCTAGAAGTCACTTTGTATTTGTAGACCAGGCTGGCCTGGAATTCACAGAGATCCTCCTGTCTCTGCCTCCCAAGTGCTGGGATTAAAGGCGTGCCCCACTACTGCCCGGCTCACCAGTGAATTTTCTAATTTGAGTACCTTTGGCTTGGGTTTTTCTCAAAGTGGTATTAAAGAAAAGGAAGGATTTGTCAAAAGTATTTGCTCAGCCAGTTTAATTTCCTTCACAAAAAGAAAAATAATCCAGAGTATGAAGTGCTAGACTGTTAGTTTTAAAGCCTAGTATTGCAGGGAGGAGTTGTAGCTCTTGGTGGTAGGAGCACCTTGCCCAGGATGCTGAGGCCCTGGATTAGATATACAATGCCACCAAGGGAAAGAAAAAAGCATAAGTCTATCCTTGTAGTAAACAAGTCACTTCTGCACTAGGCTAAGGAGGCAAACCTGTGTCTGCAAAGGAGGACGTCTTCATAATATGGAGCCAGTATGCTCAGTAATGTTAGAACATGAGTTAGAAGTTCTTACCACCAAGTAAAGTGTGTATTCCTTCAATCCCAAACTTGGATATGGAGAAGAAAGGAGAATGAGGTTACCTTCTATTACTACATAGCATGTTTGAAGCTAGCCTGAGCTATTTTGGACCCCAATCTCAAAAATAAAAATACAATTTTTTTAAAAACAGAATAGGCGTGTTGTGTCACACGCCTTTAACCCCAGCACTAAGGAGGTAGAGGCAGGTGGATCTCTGTGAGTTCCAGGCCAGCCTGGTCTACAGAGTTAAGTACTAGGACAGGCTCCAAAGCTTCACAGAAAAACCCTGTCATCAAAAAGAAAAAGAAAAAAACAGTAGAAAGAAATTACATCACCTAAAATCTAAGATTTCATGTGCTGAGTTATTTAAGATTGTGCTAATTTTAAATGAACTGTTAACTAAACCAGTTGTATTTTTTAGGTTACACAAAACTTCCTTTTAAATGGTTTGACTACCTCAGGGAAACCGGCTCCATTGCAGCACCAGTAAAACTATTTAATAAGGTAAATTTGAATGGTGGCATGATCATAACATAAGAATGGAAGTTAGTCGCCAGGCAGTGGTGGCACGCGCCTTTAATCCCAGCACTCGGGAGGCAGAGGCAGGCGGATCTTTGTGAGTTCAAGACCAGCCTGGTCTGCAAGAGCTAATTCCAGGGCAGCCTCCCAAGTTATACAGAGAAACCCTCTCTCGAAAAAAAAAAAAAAAAAAAAAAAAAAAAAAAAAAAAAACAAGAGGGGAAGTTTCTCTTGAGCCAAAATTTTTTGCCATATGTTAGAATTTCTTAATGAAGATTAGCAAAAACAATATATGTATTTTCTTTAGGGAAAGAAGAATGTTTATAAATTTTTTTATTAGTATAAGGGAGGTTCTTTGTGCCAAGACTCATGCATAGAGCTCAAAGGACAAATTTTTGGAGTCAAGTCTCTCTTTCACCTTTACATGGATTCTGGGGTCAAATTCAAGTCTCCAGGCTTGTACTTTTGCACACTGAACCATTTTTGTCAACCCTAAACTATTTGATCTTTAACCAGAGTGGAATGAAAGTGAATACTTTTCCTGACTAGTTCTTAAATACCTCCCTATTGCAATATGGTGACTTAGCAAAAGAATTGCTGTGAAGGTTTTTTGGGAAAAGATTTTAGATGTATCATTTGCTGTTCTGGTGATAGCCGACTCTACTCTCCTGAGCATCAGTGTTAATAATTTGTTTCTCTGTGTCAGGATGTTCCAAATCACGGGTTTCGTGTAGGAATGAAATTAGAAGCTGTAGATCTCATGGAGCCACGTTTAATATGTGTAGCCACAGTTACTCGAATTATTCATCGTCTCTTGAGGATACATTTTGATGGATGGGAAGAAGAGTATGATCAATGGGTAGACTGTGAGTCCCCTGACCTCTATCCTGTAGGGTGGTGTCAATTAACTGGATATCAACTACAGCCTCCAGCATCACAGTGTAAGTTGCTAATACAGAAAACATGTACTTTTATAAAAACCAGCTAATTCTTCAGAGGGCTGTCTCATGTAAATCAACTTGTAAGCTCACAGGACAAGAATATATCAATGTTTGATGAGCTGACAGGTAAGATACTAAGACTCAACAATATCACAGAATTAAACGAGGTATGCCATGGTCAGTTATAATAGAGAAAACCAGAAATCACCAAGTAAACTACACCATTATCAAATTGAACATTGCAGTATAAAAATATATCATTCATAAGTGTTGTTGAGTAAATAGTAGATTCTATCTAGTAGTGAGGTGAATGGTTTTGTAAGACCAAATATACCCTTTAAAGCAGTTTGTACTTCTGAAAGCATAATCATCTTCAAAAAGATAATTCATCCAATTTGTGTCTAGAATTGTAAGCCATTCTCCATGACCAATTTTTCCTTTTATTTTTCAGCGTCAAGAGAAAGCCAGTCAGCTTCCTCAAAACAGAAGAAAAAGGCTAAGTCCCAGCAATACAAAGGACATAAGAAAAGTGGGTCACCATGTGTTTACATATATTTTCTAATTGTTAATCAATTGAGGGCACAGTATTCTTGCACAGAAAATTACATCTCTGTGAGAACTGATGCTTGTTCATTATGTATTATGCTTAAAGGTGCAGTATGACATAAAAGGCCAACCTTTTTGATACTAAGAAACACTTTTAATTGACAGGAGAAATCAAATATTCTTTATCTGCATGTTTAAAGCACACAGATAAAGAATGGAGCCTGAGAATGATTCTTGGAATAATTACATACTTACTCAAAGTTAATCACTTTTTAAAACTTTTTTAATGAAGCAAAAAAGCAGTGCTTAATGCCTACAGTAGCCATCATTCTTACAAAGTACCACTCTATCTAGAACGATAATCCTGAGAAACCCACATTGAAAGTCTGGGGAGACAGCTCAGTGGGTAAAATGCAAAGGTGGAAGCCTGGTGTGGTGGCACACACCTTTGGTCCTAGTACTCAGGAGGAAGAGCCAAGCCAGTCTCTTGAGTTTTAGGCTAGCCTGGTCTATAGACCAGGTTCTGGGACAGCCAGATGTATGCAGAGAAGCCCTGTCTCAAAAAAAAACCACTAAGGTGGAAAGTGATAAGCCTCCACAAGGAAGAGCATACTCCCTCATACATGTGTATATCACATGTCACAGACACACACCAAAATAAGGGGGTAAAAAAATCTGAGTTGATGTGTAGCTAACAAAGTCAATTTTTAAATGCTTCCAATAATTCATTTTTCTTACAAAATTGTGGTTGTCATTATTATCCACAATAATATAAAATGTTTTTCACTACCACAGACAGCCACAGGTTTTTCATGAAACTTGTTGTAGAATATGAATATCTTATTCTAAGATTTTAAAAGTTTAAGATACTTTTTTTTTTTTTTTTTTTTTTTTTTTTTTTTTTCCAAGAGACAGGGTTTCTCTGTGGCTTTGGAGGCTGTCCTGGAACTAGCTCTGTAGACCAGGCTGGTCTTGAACTCACAGAGATCCGCCCGCCTCTGCCTCCTGAGGGCTGGGACTAAAGGCGTGCACCGCCACCACCCTGCAAAAGTTTAAGATATTTCTTATAGTAAAATATACCTAAGGTTTAACCAAATAGTCTTGTTCTTCCTGATAAGCAGTTATTTGTAATTTTTTAAGTGACAAACCTAATTACTGTGCTGGTGCTTTGAAAAATAAGTTTCCAAGATGGGTGGTGGTAGAGCTCTCCTTTAATTCCAGCACTTGGTAAGCAAAATTTGAGGCCATCATAATCTAGTAAGTTACAGGGTAGCCAAGACTATGCAGAGAAATCCTGTCTCAAGAAACACAAAAGAAAAACAAGGTCCCCATCATGAAAATGTATCGAGCCTCAGCTAGTGATGACCTGCATGACATCATTACAAAGCAGGCTTGTCCCTTGCCCTTTCCTCTGTGAGCAAAACTTCCCACAGGCCCAGAGTTACTATGCCCATCAGGCACTTGGTAGTATAGTAGTTCAACTACAGGAGCTTAGAGAGCACTGCTAGACCATTCACTAGTGAGAGTGAGGTCTGCTGATTTGCACATGCTTAGGAAGAATTCACATGTGAATTTTATGTCCCTAAATAAACTGCAGCAGGTATGCCACTCAGCTTTCTTAAAGTGAATTTAGCAGACTCATTTAAGCTGTCTTACCATTTTGTGTTGGATAAGAGTTTGAGAAAGGTTTCAGAAGTTTCTAAGACATTTGAAGCCAAACAGTGGTTTTAGCCAGATATGATGGTACATGACTGTAATCCTAGGACTCAAAAAATAGGCAGGAAGATTAGGATTTCAAGATCATTATCAGTTCCATGGCAAGTTCAAGGCCTACTAGGCTACATGAGACCTTCCTTACAGGAGCAGAGAGAATACATACACACACATAAATATGTGATATATATTAGTGTAATTAGCATACACATATGTTTATATATATTCCTCCTGAAGATTTTTGAATAGACTTTTTTACTAGTTAGATGTGGTGACTCATGCTTGTAATCCCAGCCCTCGGGAAGATAAGGCAGAAAGATTGCCACAAGTTTCAGGCCAGCTTGGGCTATAGAAAAAGACTTCAAAAACAGAGGAACCAGGCAGTGGTGGCGCACATCCCAGCATTCAGAATGCAGAGACAGGCGGATCTCTGTGAGTTCGAAACCAGCCTGGTCTACAAAGCCAGTTCCAGGACAGCCTCCAAAGCTACACAGAGAAAACCTGTCTCAAAAAATGAAAGAAAGAAAAGAAAAAAGAAAGAAAAGGGGAGCTAGAGAGGTGGTTCAGCCATTAGCAGCAGTTGGCTGCCCTTGTATATGACCGGGTTCAGTTCCCAGGACCTATATCAGGCAGTTCACAAATGTCTATAACTCTAATTCCAAGGATCCCAGGTTCTTTTCTGGATCAGAGGTAACCTGCACACATGGAGTGCATATATATCTCACACACATACTCAGTTGCACATGAATATATTTAAAAAAGTTTTAAACAATCCTTACAAACTAATGAGCATTATATGCACAGTTCTCTTGCCTCCCTCTGTGATCCTTGCAGGGTTTGTTTTGTGACTTAAATGCTTAAATGCTAGGCTAGGAATATGGGGATAAATGAATGAATTGACAAAGTAAGAATATCAGTTAAACCAATTATAGTGCTATTTAATATTGCTACCAGAAACTATTATAGATTTCTGAATTAGAGATTAACTTTAGCTGTAGATGGAACATACCCCTTACCTCTGGCATTTTGATCTTAATACTATGACATCATCTCTAATTCCTTAAAATTATTTGGACATATATGGAAAATAAATAACTCTTTACTAGAAACCCCTTGGGAACAGATACATTTTTGTTTTGGAATTAGGAATTTTTCCCTTTCAGAAAGGAAAGTGTTTTCTGAACCAAAATACAAATGTTTACAGTAAGTGGACCAAGTAAAGATGATAAGTGTATCATCAAGTGAGTATGGTTTTGTTGCCAAAATCTTAGAAAAAGATGCTTTTTGAATGTTGGAATTGAAGAAATATAATAAGCAGTAGTTTTACATTGTTAAGGTACTATCTGCTTCTTGTTTTGTATGATTTGGCTTGGGGGTGGGGGGGGTTCTCTGTGTAGCCCCGGCTGTCCTGAAACTCACTTTGTAGACCAGACTGGCCTTAACTCAGAGACCCAAGTTAGAATCCAAAGCCACATTGAGTGGTTTGTAACTGCCTGTAACTGTAGCAGGGTATCCAACAGACTCCTGCATGTGATGGTACCTACATCTATCTGCATACTGACACACAGGCTCACATACATACACATAAATTAAAATAAAAATCGAAATTATCCACTACAGGCAAACTTGTCCATAGTAGATGAACTTCAGAACCTGGTGTCTGTCTTTTAAGTTTGCTGGTAGGTTGTTGTGTTGTGGCTCTGTTGTTTCTTCAAGCTCAGTCATCTTCTGTACTGACGTTGTTATGGTAGTCCTTATTGCCTACCAGGGTAGTTGATTGTCTTCATTGTCTGGAATGGTGAACAGTGAGTTCACTTTGTCCTATAGTTGTGCTACGAGGGACAGTTATTAACCAGCCCTTTGGAAAATAAGAGTATAGTTTTACCAGGAGGGTTTTATGGGCTGCCTCAAAGAACATTATCTCAAACCATAGTAATTCTGAACTTTCAAATTTCGCCATTTTCTGGAGCTACTGTGTGTAGAACTTGGTGGATTTTCCTAGTATTGTACTCATAATGTGTTAGAAAAAGTCAAGTAGTCACTGTACATGACAGTGGCCTGGCAGTTGAGAGCTGAGTGTGAACTCACTTTGATTTCAGATTCATTTTATATGGAAATACTGCTAACTTTCATTTCGATTATCTAAAGCTGAGCTGATTACTGGATCATTGTGCACTTAGGAAATGTACATTTCTAGAGATAAGATACCTTTCAGTTTGTACTCTTATTTCATTATGCCTGGCAGTTCAGTGTTTGCAAAGCTTAAAGTATATTTTAGTTTGGTAAAAGCATTTTGTGAGTTCTGGAATGTTTTGCTTATGAACCTATAACTAAAAGTGGTACATGCCTTTAACCTTAGCACATAGGAGGTAGAAACAGGAAGATCATAACCTCAAGTTCTTTCTCGGCTATCTAATTAGTTTAAGGCTAGCCTAGTCTATGTGAGACCTTGTCTTGAAAACTAATTAAGGAGAGCTGAGCACAGTGCACACTTTCGATTCCAGCACTTGGGAAATGGAGGCAAGATGATCAGAAGTTCAAGTCCAGCCTTGTCTACATAGTAAATTCAAAACCACCCAGGCTGCCTGAGAGCCTGAGATTAAGAATGCATAAGCAATATGTAATACGCTTTGAGTTTTAGAAGTACTTTTCTGGGTCAGAATTACAAATGGTGTCTGAATGTACTGCTGATAAAAACTCAGGGGAGCACACTATATAGCAATGAGATTGTGCTACGCAATCAAGACATACGATGCTAGTTGTTTGATTTCTCCCCTGAAGGGCCAAAAATAGCCTTCTATAGCTAGGGAAATGCAGCCTTAAAAGTTATGCTTAGAGACTTTTCTCTTGGGATCAGTGTGTAGATCCCTGTAGCACTTGCCTAGTGTGTATGAGAGCCTGCTGGTCTCCAGCACTACTACAAGAAAGTAAATAAAGACCCTTCCTTCCATTGGCACCCCAGTTCAAGCTGAGTTTTCTTGAATGAAATTAGCCCAGCAGTTGTCCTCACTAACTACATATAGTTTGTTTTGCCTTATTCATTTTAAGCTTGAGAGTCAAGACCAAGATTATCAAACCTGAGAAATTAGAAACAACTTGCCCCCCGAATGTGCATATGCATGTGCACACATACACACACACACACACACACACACACACACACAGAAGTTAAAGCCTTGCACAGTCAACTGACTACAGTGTCTATAGCACCCAGCCTCCCTAGTAATACAATGCACTTTTCTTACCACACACCTAAGTCAAAGCTTACTTCAGTCTGACTTGATGTTTAGAAAGGAAGATGCCAGTTGGGAAGAAGCCTGTCAGTTTGTCGAGCCTGCCCATGACAGGCGGGGTGCGGAGGAGCTTCTCTGGGGACGAAGAGTTGACTCCTCCTCCATATCGAACCCTGCCAGCACAGACAGCCCTGGAGGCCTTCCCACCTCCCAGCACTAGCCGAGAGTTCAGGCCCAGCCTCAAAACAGGTAACTAGTCACGGCAGCACCACAGGTACTACAGAGGGTCAAGTGCTGGGCAGGGTGGTGGGAGACAAAGCATGGTCTTTTGTGACAGTGCTGACTCATCAAAGTTTTTTGTTTTGTTTTTTTTTTTAACTAAAATATCCATTTTCACTGGTTCTTGGTAGTCATCTCACCAAGAGGAGTCATTAGGAAAGGAGTTTTTGCTGTCCTTAAGGAGCATCTGTGATAGCTGTTATTTTAAATTTTAGGATTATGAGGCAACTTCTGGTATTTCATGCTTAATTAAAATGGCTAACATATTACATTGTAGACTTCCATATGACTTAACTTGAGGGAGAGAGAGATGCTGAAGAACTCATCTGGTTAATCAGACCTAAAAGTGAGATTTTTTTCATAACATTCCATAGTGTCTCATTCCTGGAAAATGTGTATTGAGCTCAAGTAATTTTGTTTGTGGTAGTAAATTTTAGCTGAGTATCATCACACACGTGAAACACATTATTATCTGTATGTCATGGTGTTGAATTAACTTGAAATTTATTTACATAATTCCATGTTGTGGTGTGCACAGTGATTAAGTAAGTGACATTTCTTGGTGTTAGTTGGTTAGGCCAGGATCTGTCGTAGTAGAGTCAAGGAAGATTGCGTAAGGTTTTGCCCCTTGTAGTTGCTGAAACCAAAACTTCCCTTAGATAAGAATCCTGATCTTGGAGCGTCAAAGCTAGAGTCCATGTTTGATTAGCATGTATCCTTAGGTACAGCTTAAGGATTGCTTTTTAAGTGACTTGCTGTAGCTGATCAGCATTTGCTCAATGGCTTTGTAGTTTGAAGGCCTACATGAAACTTAGTACCTTGTTCCCTTCTTTTCTGTTTGCCAGGATGTTTGTACCTGACATTGTCAGCCATTTTTTCACTTCGATTTAAGATGTACTTTAGCTCTCACAGATCTGACTGTGCTGCACAGTCTTCTTGAGCTTCCCACCAGTCAGTTTTTCTGATGATCACTATGGTAGCCTTATATCAAGGAAGAGTTCCATACTTCATTTTATATGAAGAGCAGATTAGGATTACAAATCCCAGGTTTCATCTGCTGTGGCCAGGCATAATGTTTGGCCTATAAACCCAGCAGGAAGATTGGGGATTCCAGGCAACCTCCTGAGAGAGTCCTTGTTTCAACCAACTAACACTTTAGCTACTCTTCTAATGTATCAACCTCTAAGAACTAATGGCATTCCAGCTCATTGTTGTTAGCTTTTCTCTTTTCATACATGCTACTTATGAAACAGTATTATACCTGATTAAATGTAAATATTCTTGCTTTTTTAAATTTGTGTTAGCTCTTCTGAGCATTTTCTTTAAACAGACTAATTTTGGAAGTATATGTTTTGATAGAGGTTCTGATTCACAAACTGAACTCAACTTGTGAGATGCTACAAAAAAAACCTCAAGGCTCCTGACGTTAGTGCCTATCTTCTGAGCTCTGGGGCTTGTCCTCTCCACTGTGGTGTGATCTGCTCAGTGAAACGCTGTGGAAACTGTACTACTGCCTTCATGTCTGAAATCCCTGTTGGATTGGCTGTTTGAAGAAATTATTGTTATTGGCTTTGTATCTATGAAATTATTATTGGCTTTGTATCACTTCCATTTGTTTCTTTTGTGAAATGTTAGTAATTGGTGTCACTAAAGTGAATTCCTTTTAAAAGCAGAGTTTAGAAATGGAGTTGGTGTAAGATGTGACATTGAGCCACTTGATCTATTGCATTCATCCATCATTAGTTGAGAATAAAGGCTAGGAAGAAAGGATTATACCAGGCAGGCTTTATTTTAGTTTCCATGATAGTGAAAGTTTGCATTAAAACATTCCATACCTGAGTGATGAATGTTTCACCTTTATCTTGAGTGATTTTGAAGTACATCATTTCCATATTTTAACATGATTCTACTCCAGATACTTGTTTTGAGTACAAATGAATACAGCTTTAGGGTGTGCCTTAGATCCTCAGCTTATCTTTCTTACATAAAAACACATCCATTTGAGTGAAACATCTTTGATCTTGAAGCATGGTAATTCCCATTCATTTAGCCATCTAATCATCGTATAACAAGATAACGTTCAACCTTTTATTGTGGGTACTGCACCTTTAATGAAATATGGGTTTTGTTTCCATGTTTATCCTTGTGATAGTACTAAAATGTCCACTGCATGTTGCTTAGATGTGAAAGATAACTGTTGCATATTTGCTACTGTTCATTAGAACACATTTTTATTAAGAAAAGGAAGAACTATACAGGTGCACATGCTTTGTCTTTCAACAATGTGTTGTTTCTTCTGCTCTTACTATACTATACACAATATATTCACTTTTTTGTCTTTGAGCTATTAAGTCTTTTACCATCGATACCAAAATAGGAACCAAAGAAAGATAAATTGTCATCTCTCAAAACATTATTCCTTAAAATTAGTAAAAATGTCAGAATTGCTGGCTGGTGGTACATGCCTTTAATCTGAGCACTTAGCAGTCGGACCTTTGAGTTCAAGGCTAGTCTAGTCCATCTACATAGCAAGTTCCAGGCCATCCAGAGCTTTATAGTGAAACCTTTTCTCAAAAACATAGATAAAAGTTTTAAAAGATGTCCTAAGACTAGGTTGTGTATTTGTTTGTTAATCTTGTTATGTAGTATGTAGTCTATGCCTCAAACTCAAGATCCTCCTGCTTCATTCAGCCTCCAGACTGCTGGTGGGACTATTGGTATGAGCCAACACACTTGGACTGGGAGAGTCATCATTAATTTTTAAAGAAATCTTCATCAACTAAAATAAGTGTCTGAAAGTGTATCCCAATGGTAGAGTGCTAACCTAGCATACACAAAACCAAATTCAGTCCCCAGCACCATGAAAAAATAAAATAATGCTGGGCGTAGTGATGTCACACAGTTGTAATCCTAGCACTTGTGAAGCTAAGCAGGAAAATCACAAATTCTCATCCAGTCTGGGCAGCAGCCTAGCAAAGACCCTATCTCAAACTTTAAAGAGGGGTCTGGGAGTAGGGGTTGTAGCTCATGAGGTAGAGCATTTGCCTAATATGCCCAAGGCTCTAGGATCAATTTCCAGCATGAGGAGTGAGGGGCAGAGGGAAGGAAGGAAATACAAGTAAAAATGGGGGGGGGTAAGTAAGCTACATTCAGGTAGCCTTCATTCAAATGTATGTTCTAAAGCTCCACCTTGGATACCTCAAACCATAGAGTACTAAACTACACACATGTGTGTGTGATGTGTGAGTATATAAAGAGATCAATCATATGTATTGTATGCTGTATTTTTTGCAGTACACACATACATATAATAAAGCTAATTTGATAATTAGATATATTAAAAGATTAAAAGCAGTTGACTGTGATGGCTCACATCTGTAATCTAAGCACTTGTAGGCTGAGACAGGAAGCTAGCCTGAGCTCCATGAGTCCTAGTCTCAAAAAAAAGAAAAATAATCATAGGGCCCAGGTAAAAGAAAGGAACCATAGTCAGTGACCTCAAATTCATCTGAACTAAGTTGGCTGAAGAGACGTTAACTGGATATGGTAATGTGTACCTACAGTCCCAGCCCTCTGGAGGTAGAGGCAGGAAGATCACAAATTTAAGGCCATCTTGGTCTACATAGGCAGACATGGTCATGTTGTGTGTCTTATCTCCAAATGTATAAGAAATATGTTAGTTTCAGGGCTGGGGAGGTGGCTCAGAGGTTAAGAGCACTGACTGCTCTTCCAGAGGTCCTGAGTTCAATTCCCAGCAACCACATGGTGGCTCACAACCATCTATAATGAGATCTGGTGCCCTCTTCTGCCTTTCAGGCATACACGCAGGCAGAACCCTGTATATATAATAAATAAATAAATCTTTAAAAAAGAAATATGTTAGTTTCTATAGGCATTGACATAAAAGTGAATATTTGATACTAAGAATTTCAGTTATTTTAGTTGAATTAATGAACATTGTTACTCATCATTCTGTTGGAGATTATCCAGTGTAGTATCCAGTGTGCATTATTGTTCCTTTCCTAAACATTTAATTGACTATGTACTTTAAAATTTAAGTTAGGATTGAGAGGTATAGCCCAATGGTAGAGTACTTGCCTAACATATACATATGTAATGCCCTAAAACCACACACACACACACACACACACACACACACACACACACACACACACAAAGTTAATATTTTTTAAGACATTGTTATCATTGTTGTCTGTTTTTGCAATGCTGGGGTCAAGTCCATCACCTCATGGTGCTAGGCAAGCATTCTACCCTTGAGTTCCACCTAGCCTTCCATGATTTCATCTTTATAGGTATTGAAGAAATGACGTCTTCTTAGCTGTAAAATTGATAGAACATGAAGATGAACAACCAGGGCACTCCAGAAGACTTGGTAACATCCCGTGCATTTCTGTCTCATACAGTGACCACATCGCAGCTGAAGGAGGAGCTGCTAGATGGAGAGGATTATAGCTTCCTCCAAGGAGCATCTGACCAAGAAAGCAATGGCTCTGCCACCTTCTACATCAAACAAGAGCCATGAGGTGGCTCAGAAACTAGGGGTGGGAGGGACTGTTTTACAGGACAGATTTGTAGTCATCCAGCTGTACAGCAGGCTATTCTACTGGGACATTTTGCTAAACACAGAAAAGTTCAGTTCCAGATTTTTCAGGTGGGGGGAAACTATTTTGGTGGGGGGGAATTTTTCAATTTATAAAGATGGACAATTTTTGTGTTGTATTTGAAGCTTTTGAAAGAATTTTGTAATATTTTCCAAGTTTGGATTTATGTGCATTGTTAACAAGAACTGAAATTCTAACTTTTTTGGTAAGATTAAAGTTTAGGTAGCAGGATTGAAGGAAATGATTAAGAAGGATATAGCTGTAAATGCAAATGAACTGTCGTTACAAATGAACCTTCTTGGTACCTGTTGGGAGATTTTTGGATTTTAGAGTTAGGCCAGTCACATCTCCAGCTTCCTTTGCTGCAGAAATATGCAACTGAACCCCTCACAGAGGGCTCATCACCATGTAGATCACGGAAGGGGTCATTAATTGTGCTTGCTGACATTTTATTGCAGCCCATTTAAATGTACAGAAATTTTTTCATTCTGCTAAAATTTATTTGGAGTTATATATGAAACTAGGAGAACTCTGGATACTTTTATATGCTCTCCACGTAAAAATGATAAACTTTTCTAACACTAATGTGTTAAACTGGAATGATTGACAAGATACACAGGATCTCAGTCTATAAAAGGGGTTGGGGAAAATGAATATTTTCCTAAGTTTATTCTATTTTCCTTGCTAGAGAACATCCCATAAAAGGGATATTCTTATCAAACCTCTGCCATTTCCCTCCATCTGAGAGAGAGCAACTTAATGTAACCACGCCTGAAAACAGATGTTCTGTATTACCAAGGGAATCAGATAAAAAAAAAAAATTGTTAACCAGAATAAGTTTAGATTTCAGAATCATTCCAGCTCCACTTTTAACTGGATTTGTTAGAAACTGATTTGAGGAAAAAAACATCATTTTCTTAAAATTCCATTCACACACACACACACACATATTATGAGTTGTCTTTAATTGTAGTCAGAATTTAACAATAACTGATTTGGACCATTTTAAACATTCCCTATTTTAAAATTCATATGGCTTCCTTTAAAAAAAATAGGATAAAAGGGTAAATTGGTGAAAGATTTGCTCTCTGCATTTTCTACCCTTCTACCGAGTTGTGACTGAATGAGAGCTCTAGAATTTACCAGTGAGGTTCATAAACTAAACTCTCAGGAATTCATTGCATCTGTTCTAGAAGTGCTTCTGGGTCTGAGCCTGGCCTCTTCAGAGTGGTAATACTGCCCATCTCCTCTGGAAAATAGGCAGGGCTAATGAGAAATTAATCAAAATGATTAACCTCTGCAGCCCTTGAGCCTATGGAATGCTTTAAAAAAACGCTAATGGAAAACCCCAGGAGACATTTTAGTAAGATTTTTGTTTGACTTTTAAATGCATAGAACATTAAAAACCAGCAATTTATTTTCTAAAATATTGCTCTACTTTTGGGAATAATAGCATTGGTAATACGCACAGGTTTACCTCATTCTATGCAAGAGGGGTTAATAACATAAGGTTTTGTAGTAGCTACTGGAAGTAAAATGTGTTACTTTATAGTGTAAAAATGTATGGAATCGCATGTCACCATTTCTTAATACTGACTCTGGGGGCTAAATGTAGATCACATCAATGCAAGTTGAATCTCGTGTCAAATATATGTGAATTCAGCTGTAAAATTACTGGATATTTATCTTAAACAACATTGTGGAGGGGGACCTACTGTAAATGTGACATCCTCAAACTTTCCAAATCTTTGACTTTGAAGAATCTTCCCAGGAGCTTCAAGCCTAGAAGAGGTCCAAAGCAAAGGTTATAGCAGTCTTTCTTCTCAGGCTCAGCGGATTAAACCCAGGACTGTGCTTCCATGGTACCAGCACAAGAAGCCTGTTGTATGGGGTGCTCTCCTCATACCTTAGGTGTAGGAGCTCTCCGGGGAATGAACTGTAAGCCAGGAAGGATGTGATTTCATGCCAGCCAGTCCTGGTAATTAGTTCTGTGAAATGCTCATTTGTAGCCAGGTTTTACAAGCTTCCAATTGTATACCAAAACCAGGCTTGGCGTGTTTAAAATTCCCCACCTACATTCATAAAGTGTTTATATTCACCAACAGTGAAGGGTTTGTAAAGACTTGTTCGGAGTCTGAATACAACCTGAAGCCCTCTTCTTTGTTAAGACCCTCACTCCTGCTGCTAACACAGAAAGTTAACCAGAGGAGGCTTCCATCGTAGCCATAATTCCTGTCGTCGTACAACTCATTAGCCCCGTTCTCTTTTACAGTTCAAAATGTACTGCTGACCTTGGGTTTGCTTTTGTTTCCTGTTAGGAGCCTGGGAACTTTTAGTAGTTTAAACTTTTTAACCTTTTCCTTGCTGTGTATGAGGAAAGCTAAAGCTGTTATCAACTTCTTATTCTGCGGATACTAACACGGGTTTTCAGTGTTTGTTTGTTTTTATTATTGTTAATTTTTGTGTGATGTGAATACCCTCCCCCATCAATATTTGTATTATGGTGCTATATATTTGGTAATGATCCTTTAATATTGGGGAGGGATTTTAAAAAATACTGTGATTAAACTGGGTATCTTCCTTTGATTTTCATATTTTAAATAAAGCCACAGTCATTTATACAAAAAAACAAATAAATAAATAAAGATGCATCTGTCCCTGGACAAACCTTTCAAGGACAGAGGCCAAAGTAAAGTACATAAGGTTTTTACATCATTTCTGTGTGCGTTTGATATATAGATCAATATCTGGAAAAATTTTATCTTTTATTTTCTGGTAACTTGTGATCATTGAGGAAGCGTTTGAAGCTTTCTCATGAAATGTATATAATGGCGTGAAAAAATTCCTTCAGAGAAATTTATGTTCCTTTCATTTTTACCAAAATGCAAATTTTCAGCATGATGTGGAAAGCATTAAAATTATAACTTTGTGTACAAGATGAAAATAATTCACTAAATTTGCCCTTTTTTACACAAAATAAAATGTTAAAGTTAAGCTTTATTTTTATCAGTTTTTTTCACCATTTATTTATTAGGGAGTGCGGGTGCACATGTGGAGGTCAGACAACTTGCAAAAGTCAGTCCCCCTGGCATGGGACTGAAGTGGTCAGATGCAGCAGTGAACCAGAGGGAAAGTACATTGCTTTCCCAAACAACCCAAGTTGGGCTCCCAGTACCCAAAGTGGGCAACTGTCAACCACCCTTACCTTCAGCTTGAGGTCACCCACCAGTGCACAGGCATCCTATCACAGGGGAACATGTTAAGGAAAGAATGGTCAGTGATTAAAAACATTTGTTGCTTTTGCAGAAGACCCAGGCTCAATGCCCAGCACCCACTTGGTAGCTTACAACATCTATAAATCTAGTTCCAGGCAGACACCCCCTTCTGACCTCTGTACACCAGACAAAACACTTACACATGCAGTCTTTGGTGAAAGGGAATAAGGCTGCAGCTCGCGTTTGTGTACAATCTTCAGGCTGGGAACTGCACTAATTGCTCTTTAACCCTTTGTTCCAGTGGTATCCTTTTGTCTTGAAACTTTCTCCTAAGCAACAAAAACATAAATCTGGCCTATTTGGTTTTCTTGCAGAAATATGAATTAAGCTAGTGCAATTTGGGTTGTTTGTTTCCTTAAAGAGCCAGTGTCACACTTTGACTCTCCCCTAGTAGGATCCCTCCTAAGTGTCTTGATCTGTAGCTTGTTTCTGAGAAGATTCAGACTATTCTTATTTATTAAGACTACTTTGTTTAATGCCATCATAGTCATGGGATAAAATCACTTTTAGGTCTAGCAAATGAGCACAGGACACTGCATCCACTTCCAAAGTCTTTGTCTTTATTATTTTAGAAAAGATGATCCATTTATTCTGTGGAATGAAGAGCCGTGTCCAGGGATCCATCAGTAATGTGGAAAAAGACCCAGCGTTATCCACCTCTACTCATATACCCAGTCATGAGCACAAGGCTTGTAGTCAATCAGTTCTTCAGGCTTAAACCATAGACTGATCTCTTTCTCTGCACTTTGCACCGAATCACTGCCATGAATGATGTTCCTAAAAAAAGAAAGCTTATTTGTTACAGCATTTTAAAGTACCAGAGTCCATTTAATAGGTAACACCAAAGGGCAGACATTGCAGACCTTTTCAGTCAAAGGTCCACCTGACAATAATTACATTTCCTCCACGAAGTATCCCAAAACCAATTGAAGGACTGAGAATACTGGTCAATAATGTCTGAAACCATCAGCATCAGGATGTGGACAGAGCAAGGAACTCAGTGGATCCAGGAATGTATGAGGCACTACACTGAATCTTCAATGTAATGAATAAAACATTTAACTAAAATCCATTAAGAGCACTTGTTGCTTTCAGAGGACCCAGGTTTGAGTCCACATGGTGGCTTGCAACAACCATGCATAACTCAGTTCTTTTTTTTTTTTTTGTTTTGTTTTGTTTTTGTTTTGTTTTGTTTTTCAAGACAGGGTTTCTCTGTGTAGCTTTGGAGCCTATCCTGGCACTCGCTCTGGAGACCAGGCTGGCCTCGAACTCAGAGATCCGCCTGCCTCTGCCTCCCGAGTGCTGGGATTAAAGGCGTGCACCACCAACACCCGGCTTCATAACTCAGTTCTAAAGCATCTCATAATCTCTCTGACCTCTAGACACAGGGCACACATCATACATGCAAACAAAACACTCTGAAAAATCTTTAAATGTCATACTAAAAAAAAAGCTATAAAGGTGCTCAAACAAAAAGCCTTAGTTCAACTTAAAACTTCCAAGTCTTCCCTTAAAGAGTATTTATAACCCAAGATTGCTACTACTGCCAAAGAAAAGGTCTTTCTTAAATTACTGAAAAATACAAGTGGGCAAGCCTCCAAATCAAAGCCAGACAAGAACCAGTCCTAATTTGAGGGATGGCAGGGATGAGTCTCAAATTTCCAATGAAGCTAGAAATGACTTGAACTTTCTGATCTACCTGCCTCTACTTCCCACACCCTAGAATTACTGCATGTGCCACCTTATCTAATTTACATGGGCTGGGAATTGAACCCATGGCCTCCTTCATGCCAGGCAAGCAGTCAGTCAACTAAGCTATAACCTCAGCCCTCTGCATTGTCTGGTTGGTTGGTTGGTTGGTTTCTCTGTGTAGCCCTGGCTGTCCTGGAACTCTGGCCTGCTTCTGCTCCCAAGTTGGAATGAAGTCATGCACCATCATACCTGGCATATATTTTCTTAAAAGTGATTTGCAAACCAAACCATGCCATCCATGCTTATTACTAACAATCCTTTTTTTCCATCTGAATCTACAAAGTTTAGGTACAAACTATGGCTTAGTGAAGCATAAAGGGTTAAGTTTCCATACATACAGTGCCAAATTTGGTGAGGTTAAAACCCTTTGTTTCCCATATAGGAACTATCACATACAGCTCTTGGTACAATGTCTCAATTATAATTTTAAACAATTATTCATGAAAGTGTTTAGTGACCATTTCTACCTTACATTAAGTTCAGGTTTTCCTAAACTTGGGATATGTCCCAAAGGATGTATACTCCACTAAGAATTAAGTGTAATTATGCCTAGTGGTGGGGGCACATGCCTTTAATCCCAGCACTTGGGAGGCACAGGCAGGTGGATCTCAGTGAGTTCAATCAAGGCCAGCCTGGTCTACAAAGTGAGTTCTAGGACAGCCAGGACTGTTACACAGAGAAACCCTGTCTCAGGAGAAAAAAATCCCTACACACACACACACCCCACACCCCATACCCCACACCCCACATACACTTACCTGCCAACCTGAATGCAAAAATCCCCTCGAATGGTGCCTGGCTTAGAATCAGCTGGATTGGTCTCTCCCAGCATCATTCGACCTGTCTTTACCACATTGAGCCCCTCCCAGACCTTGATGGGAAGAAAAGACAATTATTGTGAAAGAACCATTAAAAGACACTGATTTATGGCATTGTGGTCAGATAACCCCAGCAGAGAGCAAGAGCCTATGTTTTAAATTCATTTAACAAGCAGAACATAGGAAAAGACACTCAACTTTAGAATAAACAATTATACAATTACAAAAAAAAAAAGAGGACAAAGTCTGGAGAAAGATCAGTGGGAAGGGCCTCCCTGGGAAAGAGATGGCAAGAGTTACTCGTAAAGGAGAAAGTACTGCAGGGGAAAGAAGGAGAGGACAAGTCTAGAAACTGAAAGTACACCTAAACAATTTCAGTGCCTTTCCTTACACTCCATGTCCCCAGGGACATGAAAGCCACCCAGAAGACACTGTACCTGTAGTGCAGGGCCATAGAACTTTTGCATTACAGATTATATACTTAGAAATACTTTTTTAGCCGGGCATTGGTGGCATACGCCTTAAATCCCAGCACTCAAGAGTTCAGTGGTAGGAGCTCATGCCACTCCTGAAAAGGACTGTAGTTAGGTTCTCTGTGAGTTTGAGGCCAGCCTGGTCTCCAGAGTGAGTGCCAGGATAGGCTCCAAAGCTACACAGAGAAACCCTGTCTCGAAAAACCAAAGAAAAAAGAAATACTTTCCTAGGTCTAGGAAGCATTGCAGTCAAAAGTACTTGTCAGACATAGTGCTTCTTTGAAAACCTAGATTTTCATTTGTTTGTTTGAGACACGGTTTCTCCGAATAACCCTAGCTAGCTGTCCTAGAAAACTCTGTAGATCAGACTATCCTGGAACTCACAGAGATCCACCTACCTCTGCCTCCCAAGTGCTGGGGTTGAAGGCGTGCGCCACCATCACCAACCACCTGGCTCCTTTTATCTTTGTGTGTGTACAAACATGCCCGTGTGAATACTGGTGCCTATGGAACCAGAGGCCTCAAGTCCCTGGAGCTGGAGTTACAGGTGGTGTGAGGCAGCTTGTGTGGGTGCTGGGAACCTAACTACAGTCCTTTTCAGGAGTAGCATGAGCTCCTACCACTGAACTCTGTCTAGTCCAGAAATTTTCAAAATCTGACTTCCTTTCCTTTCCCCTCCCAAATACCTAGTTAACTAACTCCTTCCTATCTATATAAACCCAGTATGCAAGACATACTTGGGTTGAGCCTGGGCCACACAGCAAAAGCCAGTCCCAAAAGAGAGGACGAAGTAATTGCTGTTAGTCCCTCACACTCACTCACCATGGCCACCACAGGCCCTGAGTTCATGTACTTCACCAGCCCTGGGAAGAAAGGACGGTCTTTCAGGTCAATGTAGTGCTGCTTCAGGTGTTCCTCAGAAGCCTGTAAGACAGAGGATCCCATTAGGGAACAGACCGGAAAGGCTTAAGTTTGGCTATACCCCATATGGCAGGTTCTGAATTCCAGGTTTGGTATTTCAGCACATTCAAAAGGATCCATCCTATGAAATTGACACCATTATGGCAAAAAAGAAAAAAAAAAAAAACTATTCTGGTGGCCGGGCAGTAGTGGCGCATGCCTTTAATACCGGCAGAGGCAGAGGCAGGCAGATCTCTGTGAGTCTGAGGCCATCCTGCTCTACGGAGCTAGTTCCAAGCAGGCTCCAAAGCTACACAGAGAAAACATGTCTCGAACTAACCTAACACCCCCCCCCCCAAAAAAAAAAATACCTTCGATCATAAAGATACCCTCGAGCTGGGAATGCAGCTCAGTGGTAGAGTGCTTGCCGTGAAAGACCATGTGTTCACTCTTCAGCACCAGTTTCTAAAAGGAGGATGAC